ATTCAAAAATTGTCTACCAAAATTCTAGGTTGTCTACCATCCCCATATTCAACATGATAAAAGTTAATCGATACGACAATCGAGGAAAAATATCTAGAACTTCGTAAAAAATCTGTGAATGGAAAACATAATAGATACTTGTTCACCTACCTTGAGAGGACCAAAATATCGCCTATACATCGCGTTGTTTAAAAGAAGAAATAAGCCACAAAATGCGATGAATATTTCACGAGACTCTTCCAATATGGCTTCCGATACGCTGTCCACTTAAAAAAATTGTGTATGCCTCATGAAAAGTCTTTAAAATATGCCTGAGAGCCTCGAAACGATGACTGATTCTGTCCGACTCCGTCCGCTGTTTTGAAAATCTTTTATCACTAGGGCGATGTTTTGATTTGTTTGTTGATAAACACAACCGCGCCCTCTCATTGGTTGAAAAGTCTCCCGTGACCAGTTGATCCTTAAATCTAGGGTTATTCCGGACTGCTTATTTATAGCCTGCGTCGTAGACGCTCTAAACCTTCTGTATAGAGCGTCCGCAAATCGTGTTCGAATCCCGTAAGGACATATGTCGCAAGGACATATGTCGGCGTTTTGATTGGCTAGTTTCTTACGCAGTTTGTGATTACTGTGTTGACAGGCCAAACACGACTAATAGCTCGTGACAAGAGAGATTGAGCTCGTGACGTAAAATCTGTCGGAATCCGGTCAGAAGCCCCAATTGGTCGACGGAGTAGTTACATTGTTTTAGAGACAAAAGGCCACAAAGGTCAAATGTAAACGCGAAGAATCTCTAACAAAACAGTTAATATTTGTGGAATATAGTCTTCTCTAGAAGAAGCATTTGAGTTTCGCTGTAGCAACACATCACCAAAATCGACCAGAAGAGAAGTAAAATTGGACAATTTTATATTTGGAACTCCATGACTACCGGATTTTTTATGTAAACATTGATTTGCGTCAATAGTATGGAATTTCTGTCGCTGAGTCGCAGACGTTCCTCCGCGCGGAACGTCCCCAGCGGCGAAGAGCGAGGAGAAACGGTTGTTTTCGCAGGCTAATCTATATCATGATTTCCTAATTTATATATATATCATGATTTCCTAATTTGGTTTGACGCTAGAACTGTCGAGTAGATTGCAGAGTACGCAGCAGTGCATCGGCAGCAATTGGAAGACGCTGGAAAACCAGTCGCCAAATTTACAAGCAAATTCTGGCTTTGAAGCAATTCTCTCAAAGCATTTTTTTTTGGTTCAGAAGAAGGCTTTAAAGTTCGAATTGCTCTTTCATTGTTTACTGTAAAAGATCCTTGTCAACTCCCTTCTGTGGATTTTGACATGTCACTGCATGCGCCCAACCGTCACGCACAACTAAGAATTAGGTAAATCGTGAGGCGCATAAGAAACCCGTAAGAAACCCGCCTATCAGAAACGCTCACATAATTGCGATTCTGCAGGATATTGAACGAGGTTTTGTGCACTAATTCGCAGACGGACTATACAAATGGTTTTTACTAGTGCGTGAGCCGACTGCAACGCAGGCAACTTATTTACTGATCCAAGAAATCTCAAAAGAGGCTGGCTTCGGGCACAGGCAGCCCAGGCTGGTCAAGTACGCAGCCTGTTATTGTGTACATGTTGCATTCGATTTTGGGGTCTGGAACTAAGCAACATCTTGACCACGGCATAACATGACATAACATAAGAACTTTATTCAAGTGTCAAATGTATTTAGCTGTACAAAATTGACAGCTAATTGGAGGACACGAATCTAAATTAGTATATACACACTCAGTGATCTTGGTGATTTAAGCAATCTGATTAGTTCGCTATCTTGGACTATTCAACAATATTCACCTCCTAGCGAGTGGATGATGTGTGAGCTCGGTGTTTTTCCCATTTTTTTAGAGAATGATCTTTTAAAACTCGACAAAATTCTAGGGTTGACAGTTTTTAAGGCAAGAAAAGACGTCGAAGGATTTAAAACGGCGTTTTTTCATTTACTATAATTGAGTTTTTTGCTTGATGGATTGTCTACAACTCCCATTTATTCGCGTAGAAGAGGCCGTTTCGTGAACTCAGTGTTTCCTAACAAGAAAAATTTGGCCCAAAAATCGAAGTTTTTTTTTTAAGACAAACAAATTTGAAAGCAGCTGTTTGCAGAAATTCCACGTTTCAAGTAAATAGGAAAAAGAATGCTACAGACTGAGATGACGTCTTACCTCGAGCAATCGAGCCGCCATTTTTGTCAGCACTTCATTCAAAGAACGACACAACAAACCTTTTTGGCTATAAACTTGGTAAGTCAACAAAAAACAACAAAGCTCTACTTTTCTTCTCAGGTAAGGAAACAATTCAAACTTTTAACGGTTCCATTTAAGCCATTATGCTGTTGTTTGCGAAGTGATAAACTTGTGAATTGCCATGTTTAAAAATTCTGCAAAGATCTATTTTTAAACTTTCGAGTGATTTGATCCATCAATCAAATCGTACTTCTTAATGGTTTCCTCCCTGATTTTGTTGAGATCACTTCGTGTGTATATACTAAAACAATTATTCTTTTCAGTCTCGGTGAATAGTGGCTTTAGGAATATTTACCTCGCTGCTTCGTAGCTCGGTAAATATTTAGCCACTATTCACCTCGATTTCAAAGAATAATTGTTAAATATTACACTTATCTAAAAAATACATAATGATAATTTGCATCTAAAATTGAAAATGTTAAAATATTAAAATCTTAACTCATAAAAATAAAATCAGGATCTCCAAAGGTCACAACCGTCACAGTTATTTTCTAAAATACCAGAAATATCTAAATTTCTGATAGTGTTCTTGAAAGACTGAAGACTAGGTGGTTGCTTGACCTCGTTGTTTAGTCTTTTCCATAGTGCAGGCAATAGCAGAGTTTTTCATTGCCAGCCATGTTTGACCATGATGGCATAGACTACGAGCAGTCTCTTCTTTTTCTTTGCAAAGTTACTACCTCGCCCCAGGGCTTTTCCCTAAAATAATGGGAGGGCCCTCCCATTATTTTAGGGAAAAGCCCTGGGGACGAGGTTGAAGTTACTACACGCCACCGCGAGCGTCGATAAACGAGGGCGTAAGCCCGAGAAGAAAAAGTAGGAGACCATCTTTTCTCGTCTCGTCCCAATCACGTATCGCTGGTTTTCAGTGTAACGCCATTCAGAATAGATCAAAATAAAAATCAAAACCGTTCGATATATAAGGTTCAGAATTATAAACCAATGGTGTGATAAAACCCAAAAAACAGTGGATACATTTAAAGAATGAAAGTTGCATACAGCTAAATCTTGTGCTCCGAGAACGCATAAACCACAACTGTACGGAGATACCCTGCGAGCAGTGGTTTCTCTCTTGCATGGCTTATATAGCGTTTACAAAGTCGTTCGCGTCGCTTGTCAGTCGCGTAGTTAACAAACCAGCTACGCAACTGACAAGCGACGCGAACGACTTCTCTTAAACGCTTAAAGCCGTGCATGCAAGTGAGAAACCTCTGCTGAACCTCTGCTGACTTTTACACAATTTTAAGCCGACATACCTTATGAAACCAGCTGTAAAACGAACAACAAATTCAACAGGAGTACACTCGAACTGAATAGTCTGTCGTATAAGGTGCTAAACTAACACATTTTACCTAGGTGTTGTCATCTCTGACAGCCTCTCATGGGACAAACAGGTTTGTGCGGTCTGTTCAAAGTCTAACAGGATGTTAGGTTTCGTCCGGCGTAACACCAGGTGTATTAATCGTCTGTAAGACGATCCATCTATTTAACGTTAGTGAGGTCCCACCTTGGGTACGCAACACAAGTGTGGGCCCCTTAATCGATCGAACTGGTTTGCAAGATGGAGAGGATTCAGGGGCGAGCTTGAAAATACGTCCTCAATCTTCCATTTCACTGTCAACAATCATATAAGGATAGGCGTATTCAATTAAACCTGCTTCCCCGGACATACTGGCACGAATATCTTGACATGGTATTCTTCTTTAAGGCCATAACTGGGCGTGTTGAAATTAATTCAACTGTTCCTCATCGGATACGCGCTTCAACAAGAACCACTAGATCAGATACACTAGCAATCCGGATATCACTTTATTTTTAATCAGGTACTGTAAAAACAACCACCTTTCAAAGATCGTTTTTTAACAGAACTAGTAGAATATGGAATGTTCTTGCCGCAGACCTTCGACTACCTGTTGCTTGTTCTTTAAGTTCAGAGTTCTTTTAAAGCTGTCCTGTACAGTTATTACAAACAAGCTCTCGTCGCTTCCTACATCCCTGATGACTCTCGCTCTCTCAAATCATTATGCTTGATCTGCAACGCTGCCCATAATTTAGGACGGAACACCACCTGATGTTTTTAGACAGTATTGTAGTTCTTACATTTTCTAGCGATCTGTGTCTTGGGCCCGCAATAATTAGATAGGGAATATATGTACACATCTATTCAGCTGCTCTTCACCTGTCGCACTCGACGCATTTTCCCCTGAAACGTCTTTATTTCGCTTCGCCGAAGCTTGTGTTACTTCACTGAGTTAGCGATCGAAGTTAAGTAGATCTCTTTGCACTTTCACTTCATCTGTGTGAATTCAAATTGCAAAAAGTAAAATAATCCGCTCACGCTGACATCCGTGATGTGTTGACATTTCAATGACAGATTATTTGCTGAAGGGCGGATCGGCGGCATCAAATGCATGTCTACAGGCTCCGCCACCCTTTCCCTCCCCAGACTATCGCTCGGCTCGCGTCGCTCGCCGATTTTTTTTTGCGCACACCAATGTTTTTCTCCTTTCTCCCCCAATGCAGAGCCTGTTGACTATAGTGGTATATGGCAAACCATAGTTCCAGAAAATATATTCTGAGGACGTAGTTCACAGGGAATATTATAATAACGCAATATACTGTTGTGCAGGGAATATAAACTGCAGAGAAGAATTCTGAGCTTTTGACTTTGTTTGAGATTCTTGTTCACAGTGTACTGAACAAGACTTGTGCGGAGCCATTATTCGCTCTGCAGAATAATTTTCACATTGTATGGTCTGTTGTTTCACTTAACAGGACTGTTTGTGGCAGCCCATCTTATGAACTTCGAATGGGTGATTGTTAAAGGGATATCACATTTTCACTATGATGGTAACACTCCTGATGAGTCCTGGAAGTCATTTGCTTCCGTCATGGCAGCTTCTGTTGTGTCTTACATGTTAAATGTTCCGGGTTTTTTTAAAGAATGGCCTCACTATGGAGGTATGCATCCCTGTTCTAGTGAGTGATTATTAATAGCGATGAATTTTCTGTTCAGATATTTTCATGTAGACTGCAGGTTCAATACTATCCTTAGTTCAAATCTTCTCTCTGTTTCAAACTCAAATCATACATCTAAAAGACTGTTTAAAACACCAAATAACGAATTAAAGGCCAAAAGAAAAATTTGTTTTTAGGGCTTCTCAATTTTCCTTTCTTTGTTACAGACTTGACAGCAAAGAATCGGCCAAAGACGACAACAAAGCCAGACAAACAGATACCAGGTACATATATTCTGTCAGTGTACTCAGTGGGTGTAGTCAGTCTTGTTTAGCACGTTCAATCATAGTTCTTAGACCCAAATATGTGTTTTTTTGTGCTTCCGCCTCGGTTTCAACAACATCATGAAGATTTTTTTGTCTCCTAAAGAAAAACTGAAAAAGAAGACAAAGGATGATGAAGGCATCACCAAAGATAAACTTGACAACAACGAAGGTAAGGTATATCCCTTGCTACATATATTTCATTGAAATTATTGCATTTCTGTCTCATGCAGTTAAAAAAGAGTGACAGGTACGTTTTCTTCACCAGTGGAATGAGCAGTAAACTAAGTACCAGCTTCATCGGAGGGTCGTAGCCGGCATGAGGCAAGACGAAGAAGCGCCTCGTCTGGATTTAAACAAGATTGAATTTTCTAAAAATGCAGAAAATACAATGTGGTGTTTCAAAGCCTCTTGATTTTGCAATTTTTCTGCATTAAAAGTCGGAGACGATCCTGGATCGTGGGGTAAATCCTGCATTTTCTATACCTCTAAGTAAACTCTTAATCTCTAAAGAAACAATCACTGTGCAGTAATCTTTCTAACTGTTACAAGAACGATACATGACTGCGGCTAGAGACTAGCTTGCTTAACATCAGTATGAAACCTGATGTCTCTTCTAGTTTATTGTTAAACCCATTCTTGTGATACTTTTAGATTTGAATCCAGCCTTTGTGCGAGCTAGAGGAGAAAAGGCACTTGCTGCTTATCACAGGGCCCTTGAGACTGGTGGTAGCACATATGATAAACGTGTCAAGGTTTTACTCGTAGGCCAAGACCGTGTGGGCAAAACGAGCCTCGGTAAAGCTCTAAGAGGTGAACCTTTTAATGAAGCCGAACTCAGTACTGATGGAGTGCAAATGATCCCTGCTGTCAAGAATGCTGGAACTGGAGCGTGGAGAAATCCAGCTTTTCTTGGACACACGACAGTATTTGATCATAAGGTTGCTGCAAAGACCGCTGAGGATTTATTGAGCACACATGTGGATCAGCTAACAAACACACAACTAACAGAAACCTCAGTTAGAAGTGAATCTGAGAAATTTCATCAGAAACCAAGAGTAGTGTCGAAAACAACAGTTCAGTCCTCTATTGCAGATGGTGAGTTAAAGAAATATTCGCTCAGTTTTGAGGCTTATTTGCAATTGATAGTTTATGCTTAGATCCTGTCTCCTGTTTTGTAAACCCTGATAGGGCCCTTAAAGCTTATTGAGAAGCTCGTGTTTAGTAAAATTCAACTAGTGGTCTATTATCAATGCTGCGTTCTGATTGGTTGAGCTACTACTAGGCTATACGTTATAGCCCAACAGTAGCGAAAAGCGCCTGCTTTAAAAACCACAACAATGGCGGCTGAATCGCGTTATGCTAGCTAAAGTTGTTTGTCTAGATATTTTTGACCAATATGTTGGATTTTACTGAAAAAGAATTATTCCTCTCGCCCTCATGGCCTCTGAGTCAAAATATTAATCGGGCTCGAAAAATAATTGTTAAGTATACTATCAACATAGCCTTAATTGTAAAAGTATCACTCCTCACCCGTTAAGTATGGAGAATCTCGAAAAAATGGAACCCTGAAACAAACAAAAGAGCGAGCGAGGGTGGTCCACCTCCCTTTTGTATAACTCTCGAACGTGCGAGCAAATCCTTGCTTATAATAATTACCCATCCATACATATACCTTATTGAGTGCTCCCGAGGGTATTTTCAGCCTCAATGATGGTACTTATTATGCCAAAGCACGTGCTTAGTATGCGTCCACTTCGTTTCCAACAACATCATGAAGAATTTCATGCTTTTTTCTTTGTCTTGTAAAGATAAAGTGAAGAAGACGATGACTACTCGGGACGCTGAAGACAACACGAGAGAGAAACTTGGTGGCAATGAAGGTAAGTTGTTTATGTCAAAGGAAATCAATCTGACTTTGCTAATTGGGTTTAATACGAACCAATTCAGCGACCTGCTCCCAGTTGGCTTGTTAGCTTAATTGATAGAGCACTTCACCAGTATCGCAGAGGTCAAGGGTTCGAATCCTGCACAAGCCTGAATTTTTTTCAGGCTTTCTTTTCGCTACTGCAAAAGTTGCGTCTATTACTGCGATGATCCTCTTTCATATAAGTTTTTTATTTTTTTCTAAGCTTGCGAGCGGGCGGAATCCTCCAAATCCTGCAATCTGATTGGTTTCGAGAGCGGGCGGTTTTTTACGATCTTGCCCGCTAACCATGCAGGGCGGGATTGTTGGCAGCTTCATTCACAAGTTTGTTTGTTGTTTGTGAAAGAGCAAAAAACGTGATTTTTAAACCATTTTTCTTTTAAAACTTTCGTTATTATTAGCATTAGCAAGGGAAAAGTGCATTTTATAATTCAGACAAAAAACCTGAAGGGAGAATAGAGCAAGTCAGCCAGGAAAACCACTAAAGTAAAGCAAAACAGGTGGCTCGTGATGTCGTTTCACCACAGGTGGCCCAAGCGTAATATGAGAGTTTGTATGGGAAATAAAGAGTTTGAAACTTAAATGAAATAAATAAAGTAAAAGCGATAAAAGTTATCAATAAAGTGAAAATATTGTTACCTGGAGTCGTTGCCTTTGTTTTACGAAGTTTCAGCGCGATTTGAGTACTTTTACATTATCTGACCTGTCAGGTCAAATTTCACAAAATTACATCTTACTTACACATGAAATTTTCAGAATTTTACCTGCGTTTTCTTAATTCTTGTGAAATTCGACATTCATTTTCTCGGACTTCCATGAGTTATTACAGATGAATAATTACATCTTAAGCCCTTGAAAAATGTAAAAAAATAATGCAATCTTTAAACTATTCTGGTCCAAGGTTTTGTTCACTCAATTTCCTGGTGGATTCTGTCTTAAACATTTATAGTTTATAAAAGGAGATCATAGGTAACGTAAATAGCTGTTCTCAGCAAAAATGTATCGATTGCCTTACAATTACAGTAATGAAAGTCTTGATAAACTAATATCTATTGTCAATATAAATTAAAACTGTGAAAGGTTTGAACCCAGGATTCATTTCATAAGTAGGTTGAGTATCATCGTTGGATAGCGCAATTGATTTTCCTATTACTTATCCGCTGGATAGTGATTTATCCGGGCCCGGTTCCTGAAAGGCCGATTAGCGCTAGTCCAGGATTAAAATTTTGTTCTGTTTTTGTATTTTACCTTCCTATGCATTGCTTGGAGTAACATTTTGTGTTATCATTACTGTATCTTTGAGTAAAGGCTGAACACTCTGTAAGCTCAAGTTGCATGTTCTTAGACAAGAACACCTCGCTTTAAATTTGGCTTAATCCTTGGTTAAGCTTAACCATCTTTCGAGGAACCGAGCCCTGCAGATGGATAACGCTATGGCGTTTTGGTTTTCGGTTTCGCTTACATAGTCTAGTCGACTCTCGCTGATGGTACTTGCAACATATTATTTCTATTTTTCCCCCTTCTACTATTTTTCTTACACCGGGAGATACTCTGTTAACCCTCCAATCCTCTCTTGCTACATATAAATGTATAAGTTTCTATTAAGAAAAGTATAATTCATTATTTTTTACAGACGACCATGATTTTCAATATCAAATGCCGGAGAAGCCAATTCAAGTTCCGCTAGAGGAGAAAATACCAGAAACCGTTGCCGTGCTTTTAGAAAAATACCTGGCGAAAAACGAAATTGACCCTAATGAAAGAATTTGGCCCGTCATTTGGGACTTCGCTGGACAAGGCATTTATCGTGCTGTGCATACAATCTTCTTTTCCTCCGAGGATATTTTTCTTCTCGTGGTTGATCTTTCAAAGAAACTTGGTGAGAAAGCATTATGGCGAGTGAATGCAGATCAAAACGAGCACACCGTAAGTGCCCGGGAAGATGAGGAAACCAATTTGGATCACTTAGTAAAGTGGATGGATTTGATTCAATCTTTACAGAGGGCTGATCAGAAGGAGAGTCTTTTACATCCCCCCGTTATACTCGTGGGTACGCATGCTGACTGCGTAGACGATCCAAGTAAAGAAATGAAATTGGTAGAAGAAAGGTATTTAAGTTTATTTGGTGAATCTTCTTACTTACCACACATTGCAGCCTGTCTACCGATTGATAACACAAAAGCTGGTAAATCTACGGACCAGGAAGAAATCATTGAGTTGCGAAAAACGATTCTGGAGTTGGGTGAAAAAATGCCTCATACCAAGAAGAAGATCCCTTTGCAGTGGCATCGAGTTGAGAATGAAGTTAGCAAACCGATCTGGCAACGACAAAAATATCTACTAAAGAAATCTTTTCGAGAGGATATTGTTTCACGCTACTGTACGTTTGCGAATGAGGACGAATTTAATGAGCTTCTGCATTTTTTGCATTGTCGTGGGACAGTAGTTTACCATGAACATGAACATGCTGGAGGGAAAGCTGGTCTGATTGTCTTGGATCCTCAGTGGCTAGTCAATGTAGTCTTTGAGATTATTAATGTGAAATGTCAAAAGCACGAGCCATGGCGTATCAAAAGAGATCGTAAAAAGTTGGCTGCAGAAGGAATTCTTTCCAGGCGGTTAATTGATCATAGCTGCGAACATAAAAGTCTAGAACCCATTGAAGACTCTCTAATTTCTTTAATGGATAAGTTCAACATCATTTGCAAGTGGCCAGAAAAAGCCGAAGAAACAGAAACAGAAGAATCATGGTTCCTCGTTCCTTGTATGCTGACTACTTATTCTGAAGAAGAGATAACAGATGAAGTGGATTACCCTGCACCTTTATATCTCACCTTCAAAACTAAATGTGTTCCAAGTGGACTTTTTTGTCGACTGCTTGTGCTCTTTGGAGAAAATTTGCGGTACGCAAAGCTGTACGCAAATGAAGCCAAATTTTCTCTTGACGATGAAAATCATGTTCTCCAGTTAATGTGCTACAGGACAGTCGTCAAGCTACGCATTTCTGGAGAGAATGACGACACTCCTCCCCAAAAGCATTATGACTATGTTTTGAGGTAAGCAATCGAAATCAAATTATGTTCCTCGTGGTCGTCACATTTTCATAAAATGATTATTTCTGGTGGTTTCTCTAAATCACCCTCGGGTAACGCCGGTAATTCCTTTAGGGAAGTCTTCTGCTTTTTTTGTTGAATTTAAAGTAGGCCGTTTACTTTTGGAACTCCACTGAAGACAATAAATTGTTCCTTCACCGAGAATAAGCGGAAATGAAATACTCTTTATTATTTGTCTCTTTCAACTTTCTCCCCAAGTTTTTTCCCTTTGGTTATAATAGTTTTTATTATTAATTTGTAGCCATTTGAAGACTTTCTTGGAAAAGCTTAAGAAAGAGTATCCTCATCTGCGTTCAATGTCTGAGACGTTATGCGCTCGAAGCACATTTTACAAAGGAAAGGAGACAACGCCATGTGCCCGACACGACGAAAGGTCATGTAGGCACCCTGATTGTGGCCACTACATTCCATTGGACGGAAGAATCCTTGGTTTTGAGACAAGTGACCTGATGAAACCTTGGATCAAGGCTGGTGATAACTTGTCTAAGGTGCGCATTGTACTGCCATTGCTATGCTTATCACCAGTAAGTTCTACTGACAAGAGAAAAGAAAGGCTTTTCTCTTAATTGATACAATCTTCAGACAAACTATTAAAAATTATCGTTGCTGCTCCCGGTTTGGTTCTCACATCCCTGATTGGCTTTTCCCTTGCGGTATACGATATCATTCCAAATGTATTTCTGGTGTTTCGGTTTTCTGTTTCTCTCAGTTAGAAATACCAGAACAAATATATAACCTTCCTTTTGAGGAAAAGGAGAACTCACAAAAACCACACACACACACTCACGTACATCACCTAATGAAGCACATTATGGCAACGTTTAATGCACAGGCAATCCGATAAGATTAACCACTTGCAAAAACTTGTAGTGTTGAGACACTCCGACGAGAAAACGACCTTTCTTGCTTTAAATCGCTGCTAGTCGCAGGTCTGTGAGCTAGAATATTAACCTCCCTCCTCCCCTCCCTTCAAAGTTGTTCCTCCAAGTTTTCAGCATGGTCTTGTATTGCTAGCAACTTTGATAGGAGGTGAAGGGGGATCACAAGCATTAGATCATGGACAGGTGGATTATGTATTCACCAAAAAAAAAATGTCTTTGGCCGTACAAGAAGTCCCTCTTGTAATTCATGATGTTTTCAACGAACATTGTTATTTAACGTTATGTATGAATGTATCAATCATGGAGGTATCAGTAACGTGCATTAGTTTGGAAAATAAGCCTAACTATTGCACCGCAAAACTGTCTTACAAATACTCATGTTGTACTTCATACAATGAACGTAACACCTTTCAAAAGAAATTCACCAATCCACACTTAACCTCAACGGTGTACCATTAAATTCTTGAGGTAGGGTCTTGATAATTTAAGGAAAAATAAAAATAATCTGCAAAAACAAACCTGATATTGAGCAAAAACATAGCATCGAGTTAATGCTATTATATTTACAACCAAAAACCAGGAATCAAATTTATCTCTTTTGAATTTTACATCTTATGCTTTACTGGATCGATCTCTTTGTCTAAAGGGAAGGCTAAAATAGTAATCAGGCTGATCTTTGTGCTCACCATTTGTATACTTCACAAACTGGGCCCAGGGCGTGTAAACCGCGACCTTTATGGCTCAGTCAATTCTAAGCGTGCCTTCCCACTTTAGTTTCGGGCATCTAAAATTTTTCGTCCGGAAAGCTGCAAATTAAGCCCCACGGTGTGGCCAGGAGATTGTTACAAAAGTCCCCCTTAGGGCTTGAAAATGTGTGAAAATGAACCACACTGGGGACGTAGCAAAAGGTATGTTTCCTTGAAAGAGGCTGAAAATGGCAAATTCAGGCAGTGCGTGAATGAAAGTGGACAAAACAGTATTGACTTCACTGGTGAAAATTAAACACAACAACACAACCGCTTAATAAAAACCCACTACTACATAGAATATTGTTAAGTGAGAGTTTTCTCTATTTTGGGTTAGACCCCTTAAGAACGTGTTCTTGACCTTTCGAAATTTTAACAAGGAAATGTAAAACGTAAGGAAATGTACTTTTGTTTCAAAAGAGTCTGTTTGTTTCTTACTCCTTTCTTTACATCCAAATGTCGGCTGTTTTCTCAGGCTAGGAAAAGCCTACAGGCTCACGTATTTTAAACCAGATGCCATAGTCTCAAAGCTTCATTAAAAAACCGAGTCAAATCAGACAAAAATTGTAATAATCACTACGAGCCTCAGCGCTCCGGAAGTTAAAAAATTCGTACCGTCTGGTTGCTATGAAGTGACGTAGTCATCCAGTTGAGTATCCATCACCGTAAGACTTTTGCGGTCAACTACCGCGTCGCTCGTAAAGTACTTTAATTAAAACCGTGTTCAAAACCCTGTAGGAAGTCTGTTTATTTTTGAGTCAATTAATGCACTGCTGACTTTCACGAGGTCAACTTTTGCATAAATTATCAAACATTATGTTAAGCGGGAAATCTACCTATGGTTCGCGGGAGAAGCAACTTCTATAGCGGCGCAAGACAAATGTTTCGAGAGTCGAGGATGTGCTCACAAACTATTCACTATGTGACGAAAGGAGAAATCACTGGCATGATAGCTGCATGTAATAGTAATTTTATCAATCCAGGTCGCGCCGTGTTCGCTCGAGAACGCTGTGACAACCTCGTTTGGCGCGCTTCTCAATACTTCCAAAACATGCATGTTGTAATCGGTAAGTAGACTTAAGCACTTAGTATCGCCAAGCCATTCGAATCAGTGTATACCAAATTCTTTGTCTGAAGATTCTCGCAAACACATATACCAAGTACATCTGGATGGAAGAGGAAATTGTCTCCCTAAACGCAGCCAGATTATATTTTGAAGGATGGCAGCACAATTCAACGCGTGTTCCAGGTCAGCCCTAATTTATAGTTGGTATTAGTATAAATTGCGATCTCCCTATTGAGCTTTCTTTGATAAAACTTCAGTAGAAACAAAACAACGCAGACATGACATTCTCCTGCATGAGACACAATCGGCTGAAGGAAATATCTGTTTACAAGTCGGGTAAATTATCCATTCTTGCGCACCGCAAAATCAGCTAAAGTCAGTCGCTGGAAACCTGGCATATTATTAAGCCTGAGCGCTTCTAAGAATAACACGTTTAGAAATTCGACGCGTGGAAAAAAAGGCAGTTGTTCTATATCCTTTCTGGTTCATCCAGGTAGAAGTCCTGGAATATTATTATGCCTGAGCGCTTCTAGGATATATAACACGTTTAGCATTTCGACCCGTAGCCGTAAAAAAAATATTAGGCAGTTGTTCTATATCCTTTCTGGTTCATCCAGGTAGAAGTCCTGGAATATCATTATGCCTGAGCGCTTCTAGGATATATAACACGTTTAGCATTTCGACCCGTAGCCGTAAAAAAAAAAAAAATTAGGCAGTTGTTCTATATCCTTTCTGGTTCACCCAGGTAGAAGTCCTGGCATGATGTTATTATGCCTGAGCGCTTCTAGGATATATAATACGTTTAACATTTCGACCCGTAGCCGAAAAAAAAAATTAGGCTGTTGTTCTATATCCTTTCTGGTTCACCCAGGTAGAAGTCCTGGCATGATGTTATTATGCCTGAGCGCTTCTAGGATATATAACACGTTTAGCATTTCGACCCGTAGCCGAATAAAAAATTAGGCTGTTGTTCTATATCCTTTCTGGTTCACCCAGGTAGAAGTCCTGGCATGATGTTATTATGCCTGAGCGCTTCTGGGATGTATAACACGTTCAGCGTTTCGACCCGTAGCCGAAAAAAAAAAATTAGGCTGTTGTTCTATATCCTTTCTGGTTACCCAGGTAGAAGTCCTGGCATGATGTTATTATGCCTGAGCGCTTCTAGGATATATAACACGTTGGCAATGAAATCGACCGCAGACTTTAAAATGTTCTTTTTAGAAGGCACTGAATTATTTTTTCCGGACATTTTGTTTGATACCGCATTTTTAATTAATTTTATTTGTCGCCCCAGGATGATGACATGATTGCGTGAAAATTGACGCCTCTATCATATTAGATGCGAAATACGATCAGAGATTAAGGGAATAGGGAATGTTGCAATCTACTGGGTATCCAGCTGAGATAGCTGACTTTTACTCAGCTATCTCAGCTGGATACTGAGGGGTTTTTTTGGTTGCTAAGACCGTGCAGCTCGTTATGATTCAACCTCTTCTGAGATGCAGCACCTCGAAACATTCAAATGAGGTCTGATTCGCTCAAGGTTTTTCCTACTGTACTGTGCTGTTACAACTTTCACCTTTGTGTCGTGTTAAGACCGCATCCAAGTTAAAGTACTCGTCATGAGAGTAAGCTTAAGCAGGTCCCTAGCTTAAGCTTTTATCCCCACGCCACTTGTGGCAAACAATACGGCTATGGAAGGTGTTAATTAGTGACGTTACCAAGTTTTGTTTTTTGTGGCAGGAAGAAAAAGGAAACCTCAAACCAGAAGAAAGAGGACCGTCGTCCCAACTAGAGGACAACGAAGCAGAGGTTACTATCATACCTTGATCAGTATTTAAACACAACTTTATAGGAAAATTACATCTTTTCAGAATTGAGAACTTAAGCGAGCTAGCCAATGTAGGTTAATAACATCAATTTCAAACACACTTTCAGCCTGTCAGGCCTGAAAAGTAGACGGCAAATGGTATCACGTTTTCATTTGGAGATGGTCATTTACATTGTAGAAAGAAGACGAAGGACACCTCAAACTTAAAGATGAAAGGCCATCGCCATACGAAAGTGATGAGGAAAAGGTGCGTCATAAATTTGTTTGTTCAGAAGAAAGAGGTACAATTTTGTTGAAGTTTGATACGCTCAATTCCTATATATTTTATGTGACAGGTTTATCCAGCATCTATTCAACGTGAATGTTCTTTTCTTTTTTGTCTGATTCTGAAGCTACAACCAGTGGCAAAAACTTGTAGCGTTGAGACACTCTGACGAGAAAACGACCGTTCTTGCTTTAAATCGCTTCTAGTCACAGGTCTGTGAGCTAAAATATTGACCTCCCTCCTCCCCTCCCTTCAAAGTTGTTCCTCCAAGTTTGGAACATGCTCTTGTATTGCTAGCAACTTTGATAAGAGGTGGAGGGGGATCACATGCACAAGATCATGGACAGGACATTTGTGCCAAAATACGGTACGGTGTGTCAAGTAGTTTTGCAGCTGGTTGTAGCGTGTTTTTCGTTACTTAAGGGTTTTTTTATGACCGTTTTGCAAGTGGATTATGTATTCACAGAAAAAAAAATTTCTTTGGCCGTACAAGAAGTCCCTCTTGTAATTCATGATGTTTTCCACGAACATTGTTATTTAACGTTATGTATCAATGTATCAATCATGGAGGTATCAGTAACGTGCATTAGTTTGGAAAATAAGCCTAACTATTGCACCGTAAAACTGTCTTACAAATACTCATGTTGTACTTCATACAATGAACTTAACACCTTTCAAAAGAAATTCACCAATCCACACTTAACCTCAACTGTGTGCCATTAAATTTTTGAGGCAGGGTCTTGGTAATTGAAGGAAAATAAAAATAATCTGCAAAAACAAACCTAATGTGAGCAAAAATATAGCATCGAGTTAATGCTATTATATTTACAACCAAAAACTAGGAATCAAATTTACCTCTTTTGAAGTTTACATCTTATGCTTTACTGGATCAAACTTTTTGTCTAAAGGGAAGACTAAAATAGTAATCAGGCTGATTTTTGTGCTGACCAGTATACTTTACAAAATCGGGCCCAGCGCTTGTAAACAACAACAACATAAGCTTTATTACCAAATAAAAGTTAACTTAATTTACAATATAATATATTAATACAAAAAAAGGTAACATTTACTCAGAATAACTAAAAAGCTAATCGAGCTGAGTAAAGCTAAATAATGTTCAGGCATAGGAGGTAGGTTGGCACTAAAGCTAGAAAAAACAAGGAATTAGTAAATAGATAAAAGGAAAAAAAAATGAAAAAGGAAAAAAAAAAGAAAAAAAAAGACTCACGAACAGTAAGACTGTAAGATGTTTGTTCATCAAGGTTATTCCAAACTTTTACAGCCACGAAGCGAAAGTTGAATGTACCATAGTTTGTTTTGATAGTATTGAGGTAATAGGTTGATTTAGAAGCAAGCCTGGTATTGTATGAGTGTATGGATGCTACCGTTTTAAAGAAATTTTCAAAGGAAGATGGAAGAAGATTATGGTGATAGTTATACATGAGGAGTGCATTGTGAAGGGTAACAAGATCAGTTAATTTAAGAATGTTTAATTTCTTAAAAAGAGGCTCAGAGTGATCACCTGGTTACGAAAAAGTTATAATACGTGTTGCTTTCTTTTGGAGAATTATCAATGTCGCTTGTATTGTAGCTTTTCAACTTAGATCGAGCTTTGTAAAAAAGGTCCCGATTCTTTCGATTGGTAAATTTGACCACTATGGCTGGATGTCGAAATGATGTAGACCCTGATGCTCCGTCGTTAGAAGAAGGAATCCTGTGACTGATCGAAATATCTGTATCATTAATATCGACGTCAATCAGCGCTCCAATTTTCTTGACGATTATGTTTGTATCCTCTCCAGTTGTCACAGGGACTCCTCTAATTTCGAGACAATCGCGTCGCGTGTATTGAGCTTGTTCATCTATGGCAGAACGTAAATCGCTGATCTCTTTCTTCATTTTAGCAGAATCACTTCTCAGGCGCCCGTTTTCTTGAGCTAAAGTCTTCGCTTGTTCTTCCAAGCCTTCCATCTTTCCTTTCATTGTTTCAAATTTTGTATTATAGAAGTTCATCGATTCCTCATAAGTCTTCAGCTTTGCCTCCAAGATGGATGTCAAGATGGCCGTCAGTTTGGATTCTAAGATTTCATCCAAAATGGATCTCAACATCGCCTCCATTTTAGTTTTTTCTTGCTCCATCTTAGCAGTTTACCATTCTGGTACAGTAGGTAAATAAGAGACAACGAAAAAGCACGAAAAAAGTTAACTATAACAGTAAAATTAACAGAGCTGAGAAAAGCACGCCATGCTCGCATGACAACCGCTGACCTAAACCGCGACCTTTATGGCTCAGTCAATTCTAAGCGTGCCTGTCCCCCCTTTAGTTTCGGGCATTTAAAATTTTTCGTCCGGAAAGCTGCAAATTAAGCCACGGTGTGGCCAGGAGATTATTGCAAAAGCCCACCTCAGGGCTTGAAAATGTGTAAAAATGAACCGCACTGGGGACGTAGCAAAAGGTATGTTTCCGTGAAAGAGGCTGAAAATCGCACATTGAGGCCGGCATAGCGTGAATGAAAATGGACAAAACAGTATTGACTTCACTGGTGAAAATTAAGCACAACAACAAAGCCGCTTAGTAAAAACCCACTTCTACATAGAATGTTGTTAAGCGAGAGTTTTCTCTATTTTGGGTTAGACCTCTGAAAAAGGTGTTCTTGACCTTTCATAATTTTAACACGGAAATGTAAAACGTAAGGAAGTGTACTTTTGTTCCAAAAGAGTCTGTTTGTTTCTTACTTCTTTCTTTACATCCAAATGTCGGCTGTTTTCTCAGGCTAGGAAAAGCCTACAGGCTCATTTATTTTAAACCAGATACCATAGTCTCAAAGCTTCATTAAAAAACTGAGTCAAACCAGACAAAAAATGTAATAATTATTCCAACTTGTCTGAGATGCAGCTCCTCGAAACATTCAAATGAGGTCAGAATCGCTTAAGGCTTTTCCTACTGTACTGTGCTGTTAAAACTTTCAACTTTGTCTCGCTTTAAATGAACCCCATCCAAGCTAAAGTACTCGATGAGAGTAAGCTTAAGCAGGTCCCTCGCTTAAGCTTTTATCCCCACGCCACTTGCGTCAAACAGTACGGCTATGGAAGGTGTTGATAAGTGATGTTACCAAGTTTTATTTTTTGTGGCAGGAAGAAAAAGGAAACCTCAAACCAGAAGAAAGAAGGCCGTCGTCCGAATTAGAGGACAACAAAGCAGAGGTTATTATCATACCTTTATCAGTGTTTAAACACAACTTTATAGGAAAATTGCATCTTTTCAGAATTCAGAGAACCGAAGCGAGCTAGCCAATGCAGGTTAATAATATCAATTTCAAACACACTCTCGGCCTGTCAGGTCTGACAAGTAGTCGGCAAATGGTATCACGTTTTCATTTGGAGATGGTTATTTACGTTAATCGTACATTGAAATACATTCACCAGATCATTTCTAGGCGTTTTGGAGTCGAATAAAGGTTTTTGAAATTATTTTAAATGTATTGTACTTGGTGTTATAGTTAGTTACAGGTAACTAATTACACCTAGAACCCTTGAAAAATGAAAAAAGAATGCGATATTGTTTAAATTCTTCTGGACCAAGGTTTTTGTCCACTAACAATTAAAATTACTCAATTTCCTGATGGATTCCATCTTAATTGTGATGTCTGGCAGGATGAACACGAAGAGTCATCAGAGAACTCGTTCCTCGGGACTGAATCATCATCTGAATCACAAGATGGGAGTTTAAGCGATGATTCAGATTCATTATCTGGTTCGTCTTTCACCATTTTCCTTAATGGCCCTCGCGTTGCAGGTAAAGTGAACTTTTAAAGGTTAAGTTAAAGTTATATGCGCGAGCCAAATTAAGGGCAATTGACAGCTGTTCAAAAACTCGCGAACTCTGAAGTTCAAAACAGCCGCCTTCAAAACTGTTTTTCGCTGCCGTCAATCAAAATTACGACCACAAGCAACGAACCTTGAAATACAGGAACACACGAAACAGATCGAAATTCAACAATCAGAAACCATGACCTTTTGAACCCGTTGAAGTAGACCTCTGTTTCCCAAGAGTTCCTCTAAGATGATCCTCAGTGAGGGCACCGAAAAACGCAAACGTCAGTTGGCTTTTGAACTTTAGAATTCGCGTGTTTTTGAAAAGTGCAGTAAATAGAGGTCATGAGTTTTAAGATTGATTGACGAAGCTTTTAGTGCCTTCTGGGATCAGGCTCCGTGGTGAGGGAAGAAACGAGACAAGCAGTGGATTGGGCTCCCGCTCGCCTTGTTGTTGATTTCCAACATATTTTTTTTATAGCTCTTTGGTCCTGAACCCCTAGAAAAAAAAATCAATGGACGAGATATAGGTCGCGCCATTTTAAACTACTCCTTTAATACTGTAACTGCTTCAAACGTAGACTGTGAGCAGCCGATTTTGAGTGTGTCGAATCGACGGGTTGAATTCAGCCAGCTGATTTTTAAGTTAACCCTGGATGTTCGAGATTGATACAAAGTGATGATGTTGTCAATATAAGGCGTTTCTTTTTCCATTTTTTGTTCGAAACTAGTAGTTGACGAAAAATAGGCAAAGTCTAGCCCCTTAAACGATGAAATGAAATATTTATTTTGGGTTTTGGGTCAAAAAATCTCATTGAGACGCTCGCATTTAGAAATCGTGAGAAATTCGATAATTCACTTCACTGATTACAAACTGGTTGAAATATTTAGATAAGAAGCTCTAAAACTTTCATATGCTTTAATGTGATATATATTCTAGGTATCTAATCAGTTACCCGACAAGCTCAGACATCGTTTGGATGTAAAGCAGGGGCACACAACGACAATCTTCGGAAAAATATCTGTTCGGAAGACGATTTGAGATCTAGAATTCTCGGAACATTTGTTGTAAAATTACTTGCTTGCCTGCCTCTCCTAGGATTTTCGAACATCTAAAAACTGGTAAAATTGCCCATTTTCAACGGATTTTTACCCTAAAAAGGTCACCTAGAATTTTCGGGAGCCTTTTTTCTGGCTGAAATTTTCGAACAGGTAAGTTTTGATCACTATAATTTTCGGATCACTAGACTTTCGGCTAGGAAATCCGAACAGATGAAAAATTTATAGGGGATAAAAATATGCCCATATTCACCGTTTAAATACTAAAACACGTTTAACAATGCTATGTTTAAGTGGTTTTGAACTATATTCTCGTTGGGTGCCCCTGGTAAAGTTACAAGGTAACCTTAAGATTGACTTCTATTTTAAGGCTTTGTGACTAACTACTATTAATACTGTATTCTTTAGGAGAACCAAGAGAAGACTCTTTTAGAACAAAAATATACGAGTGAGTACAAGGTTGAATTCTTAACTTCCTCCCGACTTATGCGTGTAAATCAATTAACTTAACTTTAAAAAATTAAAAAAACTGTTCATGAAAGTTAAAGGGTTGCCGCCACGTTTCACATCTCAACGAAAACTGTTCCCAAGTTTCGGTTACACTGAATGATTTGTTTTAAGCTTTATGAGCCTTTTCATAATTACTGTAATTGCAATGATGTAATTGTAAATATGTTTAACATTAAGAATGCTCACAGATGCAGCCTTATAGAGCTTAAGGTTTGATCTCTAATTAGCTACATGTTAGGTTATAGTGAAGAGCTTTTTCATAAACGTTGTTTGCAAACGCAATGGCTGGCATGAGAACTCGAGAGATTTTAAGAGAAAAAGCGGCCTGCAAGCAGTCTATTTGCTTAAGCCGCCGCCTAAGAACTTGTTAAGGATTTCATATAGTGCTTCAATCGTGCTTTTGATCATTTAATCGTTTAGTTTAATTTGCTTATTGTGATCGATTAGTACTACTTGAACTACTAGTTTAATTTCTAAATACGTTTTTACTGACTGGCTGACTGACTTAATAGATTCATTGATTAACTGATCAATTGATTTAATAACTGATTGACTGCAGGGCAACAGTGACAAGCGAAGGCATCCATTTGGACATAATTAAGGGGGCTGCCTATCTGATGTTCCCCCCTAATGCCCTCTCTCAGCCCACATCAGTAGTGATCCACAACTGGAAACGCAGTGCTTGTTCACCAAGACGTGAGGAAAATGAGGCCATTGTTAGCAATGTTATTGAAATTTCCTCTTCCACTGGCCAACCTCTTGAATTCGATGTCGCAGTGAAATTGTTTTTATGTCATAGTGCGCCGGCCTTACGTGGCTATGAAGTGGTTATAAAAAAGCAGATTGGCAAGAGCAATGATTGGGAAGATGTAAAAGGAACTAAGGACTTACGAGATAAACCAGGTTTGACAGGTTTTTTTTATTCCATTGAGAAACTTTCCATCTGTGACTTGTGACCTGCAATTTGCGACCTGCGACCTGTGATCTGCGGATTGGGCCCGCCGCTCTCAGAAACTCCCTACAATCTTTGTTACCCTGTAGTATTTCGGTAATCGTTTTCCCATTTCCATATGTCCTCAACAAAAACTTTGAGTTTCAAACCTTGCAACTAAAGCATGAGTGTTTGCCGTGTTTATATCAAACAGTGGATACTAACTTGTAAATTTTTGTTTCTTATTACAGACACTGAAGATGAATACCCCTCTAACTTGGATTTTTCTACTTTTCACTTTCCTGTTGCACAAGCTGACATAACTGAGTTCTCTACATACACAGTGGTTTGCCGTCTTAAGTCGTCTCCTTCTTATACAATCACATCTTATGGTTGTTCCATCGACCATCCTGATTATCCAGACGTGAAAGTGACAATTCCTGAGAATGCTGTTGAAAGTGAAACAGCGGTCTCTGTGAAGTTAAAGGTTAGTGTGACTGTATGTTAACTAAGTTAAACCAGATGACGAAACTTAAAATGCATGAACGCATTTGACCTGCAAGCGTTGCACAAGCGACTTTTTTACTATATCCAAGGGCTTACAATTGTGTTTGTGAAAGTGGATCAAACGAAAAGGATAGGGTTGAATAAGGTATTTCAAGGGCTTTTCTCCTCAGTTTTACTCAATACTGTACTCTGTTCTGATAAGCTGTACCTACTAGAACCATCACGATGGCAAGGCAACAGTCGAATAGGTCGAATAATGTGGCCTCAGATTTGGGCTGCAAGGATATTTTTCTTTTCCAGTGACAATTTGTGCGAACAGAAGCGTATTTATATGTTCTTTAACAACCGAGTCGGGCAAATTATTTGCACGTCTATGACAAGGCAATTATTATCGTTTGACTGTCAGTAGAGTATTTCCTTATGCTTTTTTAGTGATCACCTTAATCTTATTGATGTTTGAAATAAGACCAAGTAAACGTATATCTGTATATTGTCAGTAAACAAAATACTTGTCGTTAAGCCCGGGTGTACTATCAGATGATTGATAGAATTGAGTCTTTCTTAACATCCCGATCCAACAGGTCCAAGAAGTTCAAAATGAAGAATTTGAAAGACATGACGTGTTTATTGGTCCCATATTACGAATTATCTGCTCACAGAAGGTCACCTTCTCGAAGCCAGTCACAATTCAGTTACCAATTTCTCTTCGGCATGAGCAACAGGAAATTCCAGATATCTCTGAATGCCGTGTGAGAGTACTGTGTCAGAAATCCGCTGGTGACCATGGAGATTGGCGTGAAATCACAAGCGATCTTCGAAATCCCGCAAGTTTTGATGGGAAGTTCGTTAGGTTCCAGGTGGAACACTTTTGCAAGTATGCAAAAAAAAAAATAGCTACAGCTAGTTGCAAAATGCTTGAGACAGTGTACCTTTACATCATATTTTCCTCTGCCTTGTTATCAAAATTGCAAGGATTCAACGTCCAAGAGAAGGCTCGTCTACCTGCCGTTTTGTGGCACTCAACAAATGTTTATACGGCGAGGCTGCGCTCCGAGGTCCAACCCCTTACCCTTTTATATGCAATTTTTCACGAAAAAGGAACCCCTTTCGTATACTTTCTATTGGCAAATGGTACCCCTTTCACATACCTTGTTTAGAACTTTACATCCCTTTTAACTGCTGTAAATTCACTGTCTTTTAAATAGGAATCAATCACAAAAATAGAACGTTTTCTCGACTTTATAAAGCCATAAAATTCATCTGTTACCCCTTTGGGCCCTTTCACAGACCTAAAAGACAGATTTCCCTATCCTTTCATATACCTTAAGCCTGGAAAAGGTACCCCTTTCGGGCGGAGCGTTCCCGTATGGGCCATTATAGGGAGTACCCAACCCAGGGCAAGTATGCAAACTGTACTAGCACAAACGGCTGAAAATGGAGCCGAATTCAAAACCTTCAATCACAAAACTTTAAAACATGGGGCCGAAGGTTCTGTTTCCTTGGGAAGATCTTTTCTCGAACGAGGCGCACTACTAAAGAAAGTGCGGGTTTTTTGACGAACGTATCTCAACCATGTTGCGGTTAGTCTGAGATTCCGGCCTAATTATAACTTGCGTCACGTTAAATTAAGCATTAGAATCGATGTAAGGTTGCCTGAGCTACCCGTCAAGACTTTGTTATATTTTGAAAGGGAAGAAGAATAAGTCATGCATTTTTTGTTGCTTAAGGTCAACGCTCGTTCTTTTGTCGTGGTCCGGACACTGAGGGGGCCATAGAAAGTGTGCATATTAAAGGCGTGTCCGATCCGTATAAGGCGGGTTGAATTTAGAGAAAATGAAAGGGCTTTCTTCACCTTTCCCCAGGGACAAAGCAAGCTGTCCATATTAAGCGAGTTTCCGTAAAACGGGGTTTAATTTACTGCAACTTGTTTGTAAACAAATTCTTTGCACTTGCACTCTTTCTGCCTTTGTGTTCTTTTCAACTCTTCTACCTTAAAAATTCTGCAAATTGATAATTTCAAAAAGAGTGTTGATGGTTGAAATTGGTCCTTTGACATTCACATTTACAAGGGCCCTTTTTCTCTCATTTTGTCCCAGATTCGCTGTTACCGTTGGGAGGCACAGAAGCCAGGACAGTGCTTTTTATCCTTACAAAAATGATTCGATTGTTCGCATAATGGCATTCTTCTTCGCTCACTTGCGTCCAAACAGCCACGATATTCTGATTCTTATGTGTTGCCCTCACCACCTTCAACGTAGGTTGGAAAAGAAGCTCGAGAAAAAAGAAGTAACATTCTATAGTGTAAGTTCCACGAAACGTATGAAACCACAAGACAAAGTGTATTTCCTGGTCTCAGGGGGAATATGTTCATATAAAGAGGACATGCACCTTTTTCTCAGGTAAGTATTTTAAAAGTAAAAAATCTATCTAAGGATGAAGTGTGGAAACTATAATATGTAGCTTTTTCCTGTAATCCTGATGCATGGTTTCCATATACAAGTTTCATATAATCTGTTTTGGTCTCGTCACTGCGACGATCTTCTTGGACAGGATCAGCGACCGTTCTGCGTCTCGTCGTAGGGACCTGAGAAAACATTTGGCCTGGCGTCTGCAGCGTTCTTCGACACACGGTCTGAGTGATCGGACACATGTCATGTCCAGTTAAAGATGAGATAAATGCTTTGTGCTATTTTCACAACAAAATCAAGTGAAACAAATATGGCATGTCTGTGATCGCTAACTCCAGATGGGAACATTTGTTTGTGGTGATCTCCTGGGATACCATCTGATGCAGTTAACCTGCGACAGTTTCGCAGAAAACCCCAGACCGTTACAAATTATATGGAAACAGGCTTTAGGATTCCTTGATGCGGGGTTTTATCTATATATGCACCCGATTTTCAAATCACTGAAATTCTTCACACAAGTAAATAGAACTGATCTAAAGCGTTCAACATATTATAGGAGAAGTGTAAACTGACTCCACTCAGTCCTTGTTAGACGTTATCCTGGTCTCCTCGACCTCTTTAGTGCGTAGCGTAATAAATGCACCAATCAGCGATCATTTACCAGTTTATGCTGTCTTCAGCTGAAACCTATTAAAGCTACCCCTTAGATCATCTCAGCGCCTAGCAACAAGAACTATTCGCCAAACCTTTTTTATGCTGGCCTTGCTAATAACAATTCGGGCCAACTACTATTCATTTTTTGTTGGCGATGACGTCAACACCAAACTCAATATCTTCAACATCGTTCTCCAATCTACACTTGACTTACATACTCTTTGTATACCTATCGCACTTAGTAATAACACTTGTCGCACTTTGTAATAAACTTGGAATCGATGGTCGGAGAACAAGTAAACCCAATACTGTAATAAGCATAAGTATGATAATGTTCAAAACTTTGCAGTGAAACCACTCGCCGCACTTGAGTTTTGAGCATTCTATGACGTCATTTCTATGGTCTATAAGAGTGTAGACCATGGAAAATTGTGGTCGTTTATTAAATTTTCGCTTTGAGGGAAAAATTATAGAATTGGATTTTGCCAATAAATTGAACATGACTTCATAATGACATCAAATTATGTCATTGTGTCAATCAAGTTTTGCCTAGATCATTACCATAAATGGTTCTGTGTTATTGTTGTGGCCTGGTTTTGTGAGTGGCCCTTATATAAATAGTCATCATCATAAAACATTCTCCATAATAATGACAATAAACAATTATCATTGTTATTGTGATTGTTATTATTATTGTTATTGTTGTTGTTGTCGATTATGATTCTTGTTATTGGGTTTACTTGTCCTCGACCATCCATTTCAAGTTTATTACAAAGTGCGACAGCTTTTTTTATTACAAAGTGTGATAGGTATAACAAAGTGCGACGATAATTACAAAGTGCGACAGAATACACTCTACTGAAACTCTCGATATTCATACTACGGATGCCATATTGGAAGGAATGAACAACAAGAAAGTTACTGTTCTGATATTGCTCGACCTCTCGAATTCGTTTGACAGCATCAACCATCGCAGATTACTTCATAAATTTTCACAGATCGGCGCGCCACCTTTCACCTTGTCCGACCGCTCACCGTTCGTTCGCATAAATTCCACCCTTTCAGACCCTCTGCCAGTCTTCCATGGTGTTCCACAAGGCTCAATTCTTTCACCTTTACTTTTCTGCATATATATGAATGACCTTCGCCTTTGCTTCTCAAACTACGTACGATCTATCGTTTTTCCTATCAGATTCCGACAGGAAGACTTGCATCGAGTCCTAACTTGGTGCTGCGAAAATCATCATCTTATAAATCCAGCCTAAACCAAGTTCTTCTTCTTGGTTGAATCCAGGCAACTTTTAGGAAGACTACCCGAGAACTTGTCTGTGTCCTTTCTGGGAAAATCTCTTGAACCTGCTACTTGAGCCAAAGACTTGGATGTCATCTTAGAACCCCACTTAACTCATATTAATATTCATTCAAAATATTTCCTCGATTCTGATTGGCTAAAAGCACACGTTCAATAAACCATAACCAGTTGTTCAACACTGGGTTAAGATAACCCAGGGTTAGTGCGAGATTTGAATTCAGATTTGAAAGCTTAAAAAGCATTTCAGTTTTAATTCTCTTTCTCTACAAGTTGATGATTGAAAGCTCTAAATATAACAGAGAAAATTATCCAACAAAATGCTTTTGAACACAAGAAAGAGAAACCTGGGTTAAGTTAACCCCTTGTTAAGTGCTAATCGGTTTTCGAACAACTGGGCCCTGATTGGTGCGTATTGAAGACCGTGACAAGATGAGCGCTGAAGTTTTAAGGCCGATTATTATGCAGTGCGAATTTTTTCGTAGTTCTATCACACGCTTAATTGCCGTTACATCACAACTAAAACACGACACGTGTTGTCCAAATAATACCTCTGATATACCTTGTGCAAACACTTGGACTGTTATCGAAAAAGATTATCGCGCACGACTCTTTAGTCGCTTCAGTGCCTGTTTATGTCGTCACATTCCAGCTATTGCTAAAAAAATATTTAAGTCTGTTTTTTGATTAATTTATAGATACATTACATTTACTTTTACATACATCATCTTGCAATATCTAACAGACATTCGCAAGCTCCTAACTAATAACTAAAGTACTACTACAAGGAAAAATAAAAATACAATAAATCGAAAGGGGTAAACATCACACTGAAAAAATGAAGTCAGAGACGGTGGCTTTAAATTTTGCGGTTAAATCCATTGTTAAATAATCAGATGTCAGGCTATTCCAGTCAATGATAGTTCGCGGCCTGAAGCTGTATTTGTGTGTGTCAAAGGATGAAGTGATGAAGTGGAATAAATTTCAGTGGATGAGATCCTCTGGTTTTTAGGGAAGACTGGTGATGTACATAACAGGGGATATCAATAGCGGCCTGGTTGGTAACACATTTGTACATCAGTGTCAGTCTAGATACTTGTCTTCTTTTTTCGAGGGTTGGCCGATTTATTTGCTTTATGGCCTTGGTTACGCATCCCTCCTCTTTCGTGTACGTTCTTGTTACGAAGCGTGTTGCCCTGCGCTGGACCTATTCGAGCCATGATTTCTGATATGCTCTATACGGATCCCATACAGTACAACCATATTCCAACATTGGTCTCACTAGCGATTTGCGGGCTTGATCTTTAACCTTCTGTGAGCAATAATGCAAGTTCCTCTTGACAAAGCGAAGTGTCGAATTGGCTTTGTTTGTAATGTTCAGGATATGTGGCTTCCAGTTTAGATCCTCTGACAGAGAAACTCCGAGGTAAGGATAGTGGTCTACAGCCTGTAGGGTATGGCCAAGCATAGTGCATGGGTGTAAAAAAGGATACTTGGTTCTGCAAACGCGTAGAACGTAACACTTCAATAGGTTGAAAGCCATGCATTTGCCACAACTTTGCCCATTCAACTAATTTGTCCAGATCAGATTGGAGACTGATTCCATCGTCGGAATTGTGTACCAGACCATACAACAGGATGTCGTCAGCAAATAACTTAATATTTGAGGTAATATCATTACCTAGATAGTTAACGAATATCAAGAAGCACAAGGGACCCAACACGGTTCCTTACGGGACTCCGGATCTCACGCAAGACTTCTCACTGTACTCGCCTTAAAGGACCACCTGTTGAGTTTTTCCTGTTAGCCATGCCTTTATCCAGGCTAAGACTAAACCAGGAATGCCATAATACTCTAATTTAAGTAACAGACGTTTGTGTGCTAAAAGATCAGTCTGGTTTCTATCATTTACTGACCAGGCTAGATGCTCTACGGTATTAATAAGTTGCGTTTCGCATGAGCGCCCAGGACGGAAACCATGTTGGGCATCCACCAGGATGTCAAAAGAGTTTAAATGTATCATAATACCGCGATAAATAATGTGTATTTGTAATTTTAAAGCTAAGCAAGTCAAGTGAACAAAGTTTTACCACGAAGCTGGGCCAATTCTGCTTTTCCTGAAGGGCGTGTGAAATTGAATTTTACCCTTCGGGGCTTTGAGTAACAAATTCTACTAAATATGATACAATTTTACTGAGGGGCTTTTATGTTTTAAATAGGTTTGATGAAGAGTCGGAAAGCAAGCTGGAATCACGCTGTCATTACGTTAGCGCCGATCGAGCAGAAATAAAATTTCTTAGCGAGCCTCCTGTCAAAAATGGGACATTATTGGGCAAACTGTTTTTGGAGAAGTCTACCCCAGTAAGTCGTACTTGATATCATATCTTCTTTTAGTAGATACTACAGTATTAAAACAAATGATCAGGTCTCTTCCACTTTCATACTGTTATTGATCCACTCTAACTGGCAAATCCTCCTGGACATAGCCAGAAGTTTTGATTGATGCCTTTAGTTCCTTAATAGCGAACATGAAAAGATTATTACACTCCTTTCAGTGTGCTAATGCAAATAGTTATTGCTCATTCCACTGCGCCAGGTTTGGTTTAGTTGGGCAGACCGCTTGACTGCAGAGCGGGATGTCGCGGGCCGGACCATTACTTAGCGTTTTAGAATAACTGAGAAATGAAGGTACTCCCTTTGCACTGCAAGCGGCTAGACCTTCGCGTGGCTCGGATGACCACGTAAAATGGCGGTCCCGTCTCCACAAGGTGACGTAAAAATAGTGTCCTCAATTAGTACTCTTATGCTAAATATATTGACACACAAAGCGTCTTTTTTGTAGTTTTTTTGTTATAATTCTGTGATTTATTATAAAAGGATTTTCAGCTTGTAATAACTGAAAGAGATCTAGGCGTCATCTAAAAATAATTGTTTAAGACTTTGAATGCCCCATTCACAGCAAAGCCTTAAACGTCTTTAAAAGCAGTTTAGTTAAACGCAGTTGAAACGTTTTTATCATAAAAGCTGTTAACTAATTTTTTCCAACTACAAATTTAGCGCAAATGAAAGCACAAGTCAGTAAAACTCAGTAGGCTATATAATTTGAATTTCGTTACACCTGGTTGAGCTAAAACATTGTTCATTGGTGTGAATAAGATATAACACAACTTAATTATCAATTCGTGAAATTTGTGTTCTCAGGTCGTGAACAGTTATACTGGAGGCACCGGTGGGTTTCTTCTTTGTTTCCACTCTCTTATTTAAGTACTGTAGACAACGTTTTTAGTAACTCAAAACTGCAACAACCCAACACTACAAACAAAATCTGTAGTTCAGTTTTTTTGTTTGTTGTATGAAAAGGACTTTTTTGCTGAAGAATAGCCACAATTCTTAAAGAAGGGCACTTTTTGTTAAATCAGTGACTCCACTTGACCCATTTAAAAACATGATAATTTTTTTCATTGAAACCTGGAAAGAACAGGTTTAACAACAGTACAAACCTACAAAACTCTGTTTGAGTGGAAGTCTATGTCTTCGTAATGGATGTGTCTTTGAAAACTACTGAGTCAGGAGCTAAATACGTTTTTTTTTTTCACTTTATGTTAAAACGTCGAAATACCATCAGGGAAGAAAAGGAAGAAGAAGAAAAGAAAAAATCCCAATGGAAAGAGGATGTCTGAAGGTACGCAAAAGCCATAGGCTCTATTTTAACCCTAAAATGAATAGTTTCTTTTTTTGCCTTCTGTACTGTTTAAGTAACTGTATCATGGTCCACTTACGTACTGTAGGCAACGTTTTTAGTAACTCAGAACTGCGGCAACCCAACGCTGCAAACAAAATCTATAGTTCTGTTTTTGTTTGTTTGTTGTATGAAAAGGACTTTTTTTGCTGAAAAATACCCCACGATTCTTAAAGAAAGGCACTTTTTGTTAAATCAGTGACTCCACTTGACCCATTTGAATAGCAATAAGAGCTCTTAGAAAACAAAAGATCGAATCCTTCATTTTTAGAGGCTGTGTTGGGGGTTGTAAAGAACTGGAATGCTTGCCTAGCCAATTAACTCTGACTCTGTTCTTCTGCTTTTTAATTATTCTTCTGACCTCCCTCCTCTTTAGCTACAACAACTCATCTACTAGCAAGCCCAGGCGTGTTTCGGTTAACTGACTGTGAGAACTTTCCACTGCATATCCTTTCGCTTAACTTGTGGAGAAATGGAACAGTCTTCACTGCCGTAATTAAAAAGTACCAAAAGGACCAATCAAATGCTAACCCGAGAAAACAGCCGACATTTGGGGACGCTGCCGCTGGTTTCCCCACCAAATGAAGTCTGAGAAACGAGCGCAGAAATTCTATACTGATGACGCGTCACTACCCAGATCTGTGTAGTGCTTCTGATTGGTTGAAATAAATTTCCCACGCGGCACAATAAATCAGAAGCACTACCCAGATCTGGGTAGTGACGCGTCATCAGTATGGAATTTCTGCGCTCGTTTCTCAGACGTCATTTGGCGGGGAAACCAGTGGTAGCATCGCCAAATGTCACTGTTTTCTCAGGCTAATTAAATGCTAGCGGTAAAACTGCTTGGAAGGACTACGTCAGCTATAATCCCCGAACATGTCTACTTCAAAGAACTACATTTTGAGTTCAGAACAAATCCTTCAAACGAACGATACTACTCAAAACCTCAGGAACTGGGCCGTTATACACTGAATTTCCTTGGACTATGAACTGTTTTATTAAGAAACTAGCACTTACTACAAAATAATCATTCGGAAACCCAATACGTAAGAAATACCCAATCTAAACGCCTAAACAAATACCTACTGAGGCTATTGTATCTAGCGTTGAGGCCGTTCTGTCTCGCCAACACGAGCTATCAGAATCGACCAAGGATAACATCAGAAGTAGAGTGACCTCTACTCTGCAATCAGCCTCATTACCGAACAGTAACTTGACTCCTGACGAACAGAAAGCACTTAAACGACTGAAAACAGACGAGAACATAGTCATACTACCCGCAGACAAGGGACGGGTGACTGTTGTTATGGACAAGACAGACTACAACGACAAAATGGACTCGCTTGTTAACGACAAACAGACCTACGAAGTACTTAAACGAGACCCGACACCCGCACTGCAACGCAAACTTAACAACAAACTGCTTACACTGAAGAAAACCGACAAGATCGACTTTCGACGCTACAACAGACTGAGGTGTAGTGTTCCGCAGCTACCCAAGCTGTATGGACTACCAAAACTACACAAACCCAACATACCTAAGCGGCCCATAGTTTCTTTCTGTGGGTCCCCAACCTACCAACTGTCTAAATACTTAACTAACGTACTGAAACCGCTGACTTTATTGACGCCATTAAGACAATACAGATACCGGACGACCACAAACTAGTGTCGTTTGACGTGAAATCGAGGTTCACCAGTATTCCACTTCAACTGGCTCTAGACTGTACTGAGAAAGCTATTAAGAACTCTGCTGTTGAACTATCACTACCTACAGACGACATTATGGACCTACTCAACCTCTGTTTGACTTCGACGTACTTTCAGCACAACGGCAAACACTACAAACAGTTACACGGTAAAGCTATGGGCTCTCCAGTTTCTGTTGTTGTAGCAGAAATTTTCATGCAAAACATCGAGGAACAAGCCCTAGCTACCTACACGCGAACTGTACCTCTTTGGTTACGTTACGTTGACGACACATTCACCGCCGTACACAAAGACGGAATCGACGATTTTCACGAACACCTTAACAGACAGAACGCGGACATACAGTTCACCAAGGAGATCGAAGAAAATGATAAGATACCTTTTCTAGACTGCTTGGTCACTCGCGACAACAACAAACTAAAAACGACTATTTACAGAAAACCGACACATACCGACCGATTACTAGACCAGTCTTCGTACAACCCGACCTCTCACAAGGCTACTACATCCGGACTCTGTCGAGACGAGCGCAACTAGTTTGCGACTCACCTGACAGCCTACAAGACGAGACTGATTATCTTAACAACGTTTTTAGTAAGAACAATTACAACACGGACTTTGTTAGACGGAACACTCACAGTAACACTGATTCCAACTCTCAGACCAACTCTGGCCCTGTTACGACAGCGACTATACCGTACATCAGAGGCACCTCTGAAACTATTGCACGTATATTACAACCTTACAATATACGTGTTGCGCACAAACCGATAACCACTTTACGGCGACTGCTTACTAATGTCAAGGACAAAGACAAACCGGAGGACAGACAGGGAGCAGTATACAAGATCAAATGCTGCGACTGCCAGGCTTCTTACATTGGTGAAACCGGCAGAAACCTAAGCACGCGACTGACCGAACACAAACGCGCGACGAGGAATGGTGACGTCAACAATCACATTGCTGAGCACCATTTAAAGACGAAACATCAAATTGACTGGGACTCTGCGACATGTATAACGTATTCTACAGACTACTATCAACGTCTTACTTTGGAAAGCTGGTTTACTAACTTAGAACAAACGCCACTGAATCGCAGCCAACAGTTACCAGCGTCGTACAAACGACTTATTGACGAGATCAAGCAAAACTAACTACGAGAGAACAACTGGACAACTGACAATTTGACTAACAATAGACGACTGTTTAACTGTGACAATAGACGGATCGAAACGCACCAATCACTGATTACGAGTCTTCATAGCCAATAACATCACGGCTTAACTGACAAACGACCAATAACATCGCGACATAATTGACCAATCAGATCAATAACCAGAGTATAATACCATCAACTGACGTGATACAACTCACTTTAACTCTAAAGATGACTACCGCACAGGTTGTCGAAACGTCAGTCACTGTCAACAACAACAGTCCTATTCAGGACTACGTTCACCCGGACGATCAAACTCAACCTTTTGAAATACCCAATCGTCAGAAACAAAACTAATAGCTGTATTTATCAAGCAGGTCAATTTGACAAATTGACTAGTATAAGACTGAATACTTATATTCTTTTTACTCTTTTTTTTTCATAGTAGAGGCTTCACAAGAAAATCATAAAACACGTAAACGGAAAAAGCAAAAAGCACAGGAGCCTACTGAAGGTATGCTAATAGTCAGGACCTTCTATTTTAATCACGGGACGCACGTAAAGTTTATTGTCCTGTTAAAGACCAGGGGCGTTCCTAGACATTCTCTAGCTCTAAGCCGTTCACCAGAGTGTTGCTGATATACGCTTACCAATTTACACCGGTTCAAGAGCCGGGTTTTACAGGCCGTAAAGTAACTTAAGTTGGATCTTTAAGTTAGAAAATGTTGTATTTCCCTGCTTCTATGTAATAATATATAGATTTAGCCAGGGCTAAAAGCAAGCTCTCGTTAATATACTTTTGATTTACTGATACAGAAGAATAAAATCATGTAATGCTAAACGGCAACGTCAACAAGAAGGGCAAAAAAATCAACTGGTCTATAAATTAGCCAAAAAAAATAGCTCTGCTCAAGCAGCACACCTAGCTTTTTTGTACATTTATTTGACGTTTTATACGATTACAACGTGAAACTTCCTAGTTACACATCTTACGTAGGAAATGTCGTATTTGATCACAAAAAGGTTTATTGCTTGTGTTCTCGTTCGCTTTTTTTGTCACTGCCACTCTTATTCACCTTGCTGGCCGCTAGCATTTCTCATTTTCTCACCGCCACTTTTCATGTTTTTCTTCCAACGAAATTCGTTTTTTTTTTAACTAACGCTTTAGCTCTTTCTCTGTTATCCACGTAAGTAAAGACATAAACTGAATTTAGTTGGATTCGACTTTTTTGTTGTTTTCTCTTAAAAAGGGCGGGTGGCCATGCGATTTCCCGCCAAAAAACCTCGTGTTGCCTTTGGGTTGCCATACCTGGTGATTGAGTTAATTTACATTGCTATGCTTGTGGTGTGGATGGAGCGCGTAGGTCACGTGATTACCAAATTTTATCCGATGCATTGATAATCAAGTATCTATTTATAGCAACAAAATTAGAAGTGTTGACATCCTTATGCAAGTTATAATTACGGTATTTTGTTGACGTAGAGATTGTAGTAAAGTTATATTATGCCTTAATTTATCCCTTTTCTGACTTATGGCATTATTATCTGGCGCAGCAGATACGAATTAACTCTTAAACCATTAACTGTACTCCAAAAGAAAGCTATCCGTACTATTACCTCTTCTAAATTTGATAGCCATTCCAGTCTTTTGTTTAAAACTCTTCGGGTAATTAAGTTCTGTGATCTTGTCTCACTCCATATTGTAATTTCCATGTATAAGCTTCATAATAGGCTCCTACCTGCTACATTTCATTCCTGCTTCACTATAGTAACCTATATCCAAAACAAATATGCTAGACTTGCAGCAAAACAGTCTTACTATCTTCTTTATGCCCGAACAAACTATGGTAGATTTAACATCCGTTTTTTTTAGGACCTTCAATCTGAAATTCCATTCATAATGAAAATAAAGCTATCATCCTTTTGTATGATCAAGAGAAAAATAAAAGATTTATATTTTGAAACATACTAGATTAGTGAAACTGTCTTGTACGATCATGATACCACTGCTAAATGCTCATCAATGAATCTGTTTATTTATTTATGGACATTTTAATTTCTTAATACTGTACTTTTTATGTAGTGTTATATACTGTAAATACTTTATATTAAGAATTTATTCATTTAACTTATTTGTATACTCAATATGCTTCTTGATTTTGCTGTTTGTTTTTGTTTCGTTTTGTTTTTTGTTTTTTGTTTCTTATAGCATTAATGTTTCTTTCATATCTCTTTTTTCGCCTTCTCCCGCCTCGATTACATATTCTATTTGCGGGGGAACATTAAACATTAAACTCTCTTGTATTGTTGATGTGTTCGGACTTCCTAATAATAAAGTTTGTTGTTGTTAACCAAATTTTCTTACCCATGGTGCTTTGCTGTGCGCGAGCTCCGCTATGATTAACGCAAAGACAAAGCTGTGTTAGAATAGCATTCTAAAATGTATGGCCGAAGGAAGATTTCTGTACATGTGTTCAGAATTCAAATGCCAATCTACGGGTTCCCAAGTGCAGAATCCCTGGACCACCGAAGTCGATGCTCGTGTTCCTGTACGCATGTAGAAGCGCAAGCCCAGAGAACCTTCTGCTCTCCTGTCAAACTACAGTGTAGGAGCGCGGCTGTCTTTAGGAGCTGCATGTCATCCGAGTGACACTCTCGGCAAACATTTTTGGAATATGAAAACATACAAAAAAGATTATGACTCTTTTCAATTTAGCCGTTCGAAAAAAGGAAAGAAAATTCACCTCAAAATCTGTTAAGCCCGTGCTTAACTGGCTTACAGTCAGGTACGCCCCTTACAGTAACTGTACCTGGTAAAGAAAAAGGTCAAAAAAGAAATAGATGCTCTCTTAAGTGACTGAAACTTTTTTTTTTATTAAGAGCACCCACGAAAAAGGAAGAAAACACAGTTGGATAACGTACAGGGAAATGCTGAAGGTACCCTAGTCAGTGTCTTAACGCATATATTCTGTGGGTTGCTTTCATACTTTAATCAATTTTTTTTCTTTGTTTAATACACGTCATCAACATAGAGGAAAAAAGAAAAATGCAGCATACAAAGGAAAAATTGAACTAGGGCATACCCATTAATACCGTAGAAAAAGCGTGATAATTTTTTTCATTGAAACCTGGAAAGAACAGGTTTAACAACAGTACAGACCTTTATAACTCTGTTTGATTAAAAGTCTATGTAATGGATGTGTTTTCAACAGGTCTTTGAAAACTACTGAGTTAAACCTTGCAATACGTTTGTTTGTTTGTTTGTTTGCTTTTTCACTTTATATTAAGACGTCGAAATACCATCAGGGAAGAAAAAGAAGAAGAAGAAGAAAAGAAAAAATCACAATGGAAAGAGCATGTCCGAAGGTAAGCTAAAAGCCATACTAGGTTCTATTTTAACTCTAAATTGAATAGTTTTTTTTTTTTTGCGTTCTGTACTGTTAAGTAACTGTATCATGGCTCACTTAGGTAAAGCAACTTGAGTTGACGTGAGAATTTTTGCTACCATTTTCTTTGTTTCCTTTGCACTATATTCATTACTGGACCCAAGCAGATAAATGAGTTCAGGAACAAAAAGAGATCACGAGAGACCGATTTTTCGAAACACCGAAAAACCTTGTAACATGAATAAATGAATAAAATCGTCTTTATGCCAGCATTTGAAAATCAAATTACTACCAGTAGTAATTGCAAATTAGGGGAGTGTGTTCGATGGGGAGGGGTGATAAGTGCCGGGGTGTGGGAAGTGAGAGGTAGGGAGAGCCGGTAATGGAGTGTAAAATTTTATTTGCTTGTAAGATTGATAGATTAACTCAAGACTAGCTCGCTCCAGGCTCTCAGATAGTAGGGATGACACGTAAGTGAAAGGCACGCGAAAATATGAGCGCGTGACCTGTCCCCAGTTTACTCCCGTTTTATTTTCGTTTTCGCGCTTTCTCAATAGGCCATTTCCGAGTTCCAAAAAATCTCACTTTCAAAGCGAGGCTAAGTGCGAAGCCATTGATATGAAAATGATTTTTAATTATGATGCAAATAAAACTCATTTTCACAACAACGGTTTCGCACTTAACCTCGTTTTGAAAGTGAGATTTTTTGGAACTCGGAAATGGCCTATTCGGGGACCAGACTATCCCGGAGCCTGGAACAGGCTTCCTCAAAATGAGTCTTTAAACAATGTGATCTCAGCAGCTGCCTTTATTATTGTTATTGTTTATCTTCCCACTTCACAATTCATTACTATTTCGTTTTTTTTCACAAAAATTCAACAACGTCCTGTATGTTTTACATTTACTGACTAAACCTCTGAGTAAGCATCCTGGGAGACCCAGGGGCAGATTGTGGGGGCGAGGGAAAGTCTAAACGGGCGGAAAAATAAGGCACGAAGAAAAGTAAAGAACGGCGAGAAGAGCCCCTGGGGACAATGTCTTACCAGACCAGTTCCAAACGGTCGCCGCCGTTCTGGCTTCTGATTGTGGCCAGAAAAACACAAGTTTTCTGGCACCAATCAGAAGCCAGGACAGCGGCGACCGTTTGGAACTGGTCTGGTATGCGAAACCGTTGTTGTGAAAATGAGTTTTATTTGCATCATAATTAAAAATCATTTTCATATCAATGGCTTCGCACTTAGCCTCGCTTTGAAAGTGAGATTTTTTGGAACTCGGAAATGGCCTATTGAGAAAGCGCGAAAACGAAAATAAAACGGGAGTAAACTGGGGACAGGTCACGCGCTCATAATTTCGCGTGCCTTTCACTTACGTGCCATCCTTACTATCTGAGAGCCTGGAGCAGGCTAGTCTTGAGTTAATCTATCAATCTTACAAGCAAATCAAATTTTACAAGTAACAGCAGGTCAAACACTGACTATATATCAACTTCTTGTATATTTTTCAAAAATGGTGACAAACAAAAGCGAGTACAACGCTGTAAATAGCTTTTAAAAGGAAAAGATGTGATTTGTAATAGAAATATGATCCGTCGATTTAAGCTGATGTAGCTTTTATGGCTAAAAACAAATACAGAGAGCAGAACACAATGTTAACATTATATATCTACATATCTGATTACCTTAGAATGTACCCTACGAGCAGTGGTTTCTCAAGGCCGGACGCTACGCTACGAAGAGAGAGAAACTCTCCCTTCGAAGCGTAGCGTCCAGCCCGGAGAAACCACTGCTCGTAGGGTACTTAGAATGGAGGTTTCTCTATAAAAAAAGAACTAGAATAAAAAACTGTGAGAAAAACGATAAACAGCAGTAAACACAAACTCGCCAATGTTCCATCTGTGGCAAGTCACAAAATAGATACTAGTTCCCTAGCGAGAGGAAAACTGAACTGATCTAGGGCAAATGCACCAGCCAGTCAGTCCAAGATGGCGCCCAAAACCGTGAAATCGCATGGCGTCTAGAACGATACTACTCGAATAGTAAGCGTCCTCTTTCGTCGAATGCAATAAGTCCACTGCTTTACAGGCCTGCCAACCTCAGAAGTGGAAGTCTGTGACGTTAAAGTGGCAGTTCGTGAAAACTGATACTCATAAAATTGAATCCTTTATTATGTTTTCGTTTTTATAGAGGAAACTCCAAGAGAAAGCAAAAAAAGAAAAAATAGGACGTCACCGGAGAAGGATGAAGGTACCTTATAGCTTTAAATGTCAGAGCCAACAAATATGACCAATCCATCCCGCACAACCTTATGTCAGGTTTTTTTTTTTTTTTTTTGCAACAGCTCTTACGTACACGGGTATTAAGCAACCTCCTAAGGTACCCGCCATTTCCAAGGAGGCGGCAGGAAAGAAAATGGTCTTTTATTCTTCCGCCATAATGGGAAAGGAGAAGATCCTGGGGATGAGGCTGCCATCCTTTTTTTAGGAGGGATTCTGTGCCTAAAAGTTGCTTTTTATCATCTGATAAGCGTAAAATTGAAGGCTTATAGTTTTTTCCTTTTTTATTGTAGAACCTCCACCAGATAAACAGGAAAGAAAAAAAGATAAAAGGCAGAAGACCAAAGGTATCCTCTCAAAGCAAGTAGTGGGTAACAAATAGATTTAGCCAAGGCCAAAAGCGAAGCTCTTGGTTGAATCTTTTAAGAAATTTAGTGGCCTAAGATTTTTTGCTATAATCACGTGTTGTTTATGACAAATGAATCAGGTTAATCCTTAGAAACTCGTTTTGAAAACAAGTGGTATGGAAAGGGAGATGTTGATATTGATGTTGTTCAAAACTGACAATTGGCGAAACCTTACTAGTATTAGGGATAGGATACATCCTTATTTGGGCCGGGGCTTCGTGTATGCCGTGTCTGATTTGTTTACTATAGAGCTTGTCAATTAACTAAGCCAGGGACAAGGTCTTTCATGAATGGTTGCTCTTGATAGAGGAAAGAGAAAATACCTAGTTTTATTCGTAGTGTCTAAAGGAAAACCTTAACTTACTGGTTTTGTCGATGCAGATTTTTTGTTTGTTCCTTTTTAAAGAAATAAAAGATGGTGAGGTTGTTGGGGATGATTTGGAAGGGTTGTCAACGGAGCTTGGGAAATCGTGGAAAGCGCTTGCGAAGCGCTTGGAATTCGGCGAAGGAAAAATACAAGGATTTGACTATGATAACAAAGACCTCCGTGAAAAATCTTACAGCATGTTGTGTGCGTGGCAAAATAGAGACGGCTCGTCAGCAACTTACGAAGTCTTGTACCAAGCTTTGTGTCATGAACATGTTGGATTTATGAAGTTAGCAGAAAAGTATTGCGTTTGTAAATCCACAGACAAAGAAGAATGCACATCAGAGGGGTGAAGACTGAAGGTAAGACAAAGTTAAGATTATTATGTTCACCGAAGTCTATTTTGTTATGAAAGCGGGAAATTGCACAAGGCAGGCTTAGTGCCATTATATCTTCATTTGAAGTGAAGGAAGCGTAACCGAACCGGACACAGTGTTGGCCTTGAAATCAGGAGGCCCCAAGTTTAAGTCTCTCTGACAGTTAACTGGATTTGAAAGCAGCCAACCGGTTTGGATTTCGCCAGTTGGGATTCTTAATCTTATTCATCATCATCATCATCATTCGGCCTTTTCGGTCGGGATGCTCTGAATAATCTTATTCCACACATTCAGGTCCGACATCGCGTTTGCAAGATCCTTCCTCTCCGATGTTTTTGATACTTAAACTATTGTTGTCTCAGTAAGCTACCTGGCAGGGCTTATTTATTTATTTATTTCGGTATTTTTCCCCAGCCATTTTGAGGTGGAGCTACTTAGAGCATGGGACTAATTTAATACTGGAAAGGCAACCCTTGGCAATTTATTTCATTTCATAAACGGTATTACTGAGAAACTCGTTGAGGTATTAAAATCATTGTGCGGAGCACCCAATAACTTACACTGAACCTTTGCGCTTGCATTGTGCAATCTGCAGATAATCATCGCTTTCAAATAATTGATTAATAAAGAGCAGATGTCAGTAAATATCGACCAGAGGTCTACAAAAGTGAAAAATCGAAAATTCTCAAAAAAATTCACATAGAAGCACTAGGTAAGCTGTTAACGTAAATGTAATTTTTACTTCGATCCGCTAATTATTTTAGACGTACGGGGGGGCTATTGGTTTCGCGGCTCACGGACCGGTTTTAGTGGTTTTTACAGCCCCGAGACGGCGTGTCACGAAAAAATCGTTTTAAAAATCAAATCAATTGTAATGCAAACAACAAAAAACTTGTTCAAAAAAGTACATAATTATATACATTTTATTGGGCGATTTACTCAGTTTGAACGAAAATGTAATATTTTGGAGATTTTTCATTATTTTCAATATTTTGAACGTTTTCGTTCGATGAAAAAATGGCAAATTTCAAAGCCCAAAATCGTCGACTGGTACCTCGATTTCACCAAAGAGTCTTACACCACGTTAAAGAGCGTTATCTCTTCTTTCAAAATCTGTTTTCAAAACTATGGGCAACTTAAAAGAAAATTTTTGAGGCCAAAAAATACAAGAAGTACTTTTCTGAAATTTGAGCTTTCCTCGCTCAGCGGGCCGATGCTAAAAACTCGGGAAAATACTATAAGAAATCAGTTTGAGCAACAGTGGTTTGAAGTTATTAGCTTTCAGAAACCAAGACGTGTTTATCCAGCAATCTGATATAATTTAAAACCGTTTGCTAACAGGAAAGGCAGATTTAAGCTGTCAATTCCTGCCAAGTGCACGTTGTCAAAGGGCAAATCGCTTATTAAAAAAAGTCTTAAAATTCAATACTTTTTACGTCCAGGAAATGAGATTTTAACGTACAAAACAATGTTGTGAGTGTTTGTTGTTGGTACCTTAGCATGGTGTTCCCATATATTGGAAATGTGAAGTATCCACACGGGAGAACAGATCAACATCCAAGCGAAAGATCTCAAACGCGGCAAAGATTGCGTTACATTTCACAGAACGACCGCTTACCACTGTTGTCACTCTATGCATGCTTTCACTGGAAGCTGCGAGAAGTTTGCACTCGTTAGGTATGATTCTTGATCAGCGCTTTAAAAGAAAATTTTTGAGGCCAAAAAATACAAGTAGTACTTTTCTGAAATTTGAGCTTTCCTCGTTCACTAGACCGATGCTAAAAACTCGGAAAAATACTATAAGAAATCTGTTTGAGCAACAGTGGTTTCATGTTAACAGCTTTTAGAAACCAAGACGTGTTTATCCAGCGATCTGATATAATTTAAAACCGTTTGCTCACAAGAAAGGCAGTTTTACGTTGTCAACTGCTGCCAAGTGCATGAGTCACGTAAGTTTTGTCAAAGGGCAAAGCGCTATAATAAACCAGATAAACTTTAAAAATCGCAACGTTTTTGCGTCCAGGAATTGAATTTTACCGAACAGAAAAATGCCTATGAGTTTATGTTTCATACCTTAGCATGGGTTTCCCAGATATTGGAATTGAAAAACATCAAGGACAGCATCGGCAAGAGCATCTTTGGCTGTTATCAAACGGCGACGGAGATTGCGTTACTTTTCACAGAGTGACCGCTTAGGCGCTTACCACCTATTTTTGGCCTCGTATTTCGACGTAACACTTACGACTGGCATTGCACGCGTTACTGATACTTTATGATCAAGTTCTGAAATCTTCTTTACGAGACAATTAACTGAAATTTAAGGTAAAAATGATTTCAGAAAATAAAAAATATATATTTTCCAAAGATCAGCTGTACGCAAGGGCGTATGTGCGTATAAGGACACTACGCCCCTGATAACTTAAGACCCGCTCTTATAAATGGGACAGTTAACGTCCTATTGAAGAAGCGTTGTCAATCTGTTTTGTCTGTGTTTGTTTTTTTGTTTGTTTGTTTGTTTTTACACCGTTTCATAAAAAGTTTTAAAGGTTTATTTCTGGCGACGTTTCTCGAAATTTGTTATCAGCACTGGCGATACTGGGGAGTCGGTAGTGTGTCTTTCCTTACTGAAGAGGCCGAAAACTGAGAGTTTCTCTAAATAAAAAGTACGCCTTCCCTGGATACCTTAAGTCACCGAGGAGCTTTTATTTTCGTTATTTTCGCCAGCAGTTTTCAATTATTACACAAACATTATATTGCCTACCAGATTGCTCGTTGTCAGAAGCCCAAAACCAGCTCCCGTGGTTGTGAATTTCTTCAAGACCGAAAATTTCAGTAAGAACCGAAAACAACAGCTAAAAGGAGGCACACGGTTTGAACTAAACAAGGAAAGAGGCTCCTGATTTTCTAAAATGTCATCGATGTACGGTTCAATCAGACTTGTTCCTACCCCTTGGGCAACCACTGGGACAAGTCCAACCCTCCGGGCCAGGGGGCCGTTTCTCGAAAGTCCCGATAATTAACGGGCCCGGTAAGCTGTCTCCATTTACATTAAAGATCGAGGTTTCAATAGTTTTGCATCTAACATGATAAAACTGTCAGTTAATGAAACAAAATGGAGTAGTTTGCTGGCCAGGACCCGCGCTCTTATTCTTTATATTTCGATTCGAATATTTGATTTCGGGCCCGTAGAGTTACCGGGACTTTCGAGAAACGGGCCCCAGGGGCTGGGCGGTTGTTTGAAGCGTTCATATCCCGGACTTTTGGGGGTAGTTGGCGGGGCAAATCGAAAATAACTGCTCTTTTTTTTGTGAAGTACATCATTTCTTAGCCTGAATTTCATCCGATTACTTCGAGTCGTTATTACTCCCTCAGTAACGTCTGAATCGACCGGCCGTTAATGCCGTCCAGCGACGTCACTACTCCTTGACCTTTGCTTTAATTCATGCAAAAAGAAAAACACGATTTTATTTGGCAAACCAAGATGTATCGTTTGGAAATGTCTGCATGATACAGAATTGCTTTATTTTTTTCGATCGTAATTCATGTTTAACTATCAACTGCATGCAGTATAACTCTGAACCGGTTGTACTGAATTCTATAATCAAACTCGGTCGCAATCACGCAATGAAATAAACACACACACGGAACACTTAGTTCAAAAACAATGATTTGCTTTAATTGAAAAGAAGTTATTTGGTCCTTAACGAAGGAAAAAAACAAGGAAACAAGAAAGAAAAGCTAACAGAATCATTACACTTGACGGCTTTTGGGAGTTTAAATTGAATAATTAAGAGCGACTGTCTGTAAATATCGACCAAAATCGTCTTTTTGTGGCACAAGCTGAAAATTCGAATTTCGCTCATTTTTGGCTCATCGATAACCCTTAATGAGTAATAAAACATGCTTTAGTTAGTTTTCCCAAATAACGTATTCTTTTGTTAAAATTCGAGGAAACTCATTTTGCCCGTTCGGAGCTCAAAATCCACTTCCGGTAAAGCGAAATTTTACACAAATTTCATTGACTCGTACATCAAACTACAAAGATTTGGCGGCCTTTGAAGAACACGAATAGTTTTTATGACCCTTTCTTTCTCATAAGACGATAAATTTGTGAAAGCTGTAATAAGTTTGTGGCCAAAAAGGTATTGTTAAAAATTGGCCCTATTGACAATTTCACCGGTTCAAAATTATAGGGTTAAAATAATGTAAATTTTTACAATGCGCTATAACTTAGAATTTCGCAAATTGACTTTCTATGGTTTAACTAGGCCCAAATATATCAGAAAATCGAAACAAATCTTTGGGCAAACGATTTTAAGTAGCCCGCAAGACGCCCAGTTCAACCCTAATCTTGCGAAAATCGCGACATTCCAGTGGTTAAAAATAGCGTGACACGGCCCGTCACGCCAGCGGTGTTAACGACAGATTCACTTTCAACATTCTATTCAACACTGATAACATAACATAACATAATCTTTATTTAACGTGGGAGAAACACTTAGCTAAAGCTATTTTGCAGGTTTTCCACAAATCAATATTAAGAAAGAAAGAAAGAAAATATGTACATAGAAGTGTAAAAATATAAAATATCTAGCATCTAAAATTACAAAATTAGATAACTAAAATTGAATGTTCCTCACTTGTTTGTTAAATTCTAGTCCTCCAGCTCTTAATCGTAATTCGTTTGGAATACTGTTCCATTGTTTTGCGGCGAAATATCTGAAGGAGTTTAATCCATACTTTGTAGTCTTTACTTTTGGCAGTGATAGCGTATTATTGCCCCTTAAATCGTACTTGTTGTCTCTCATTTTAACGAGTTCCTTAATGCAAGTGGGGGCGGTGCCTTGAAAACAGGCGTTTATAGTTATTAACATGTCCTGGACACGACGGTTTTCCAGCGTGGTTCCTAAACCTATTCGCTGTAGCAGTTCATAATAAGCTGATGTTTTATCTTTGTAAACATATCTTAGTGCACGCTCATTTATCTTTTTCTATTTTCTTTGTGTTTCTCGAACCACAATGATGCCATACCTGACTGCAATAATAAAAATGAGGCAGAACAAACGCTCGATACAGTAATTCCTCGACCTTGCACGGAAGAATGTTTTGTAACCTATTCAGCGCATTCATCACATGCCGAATTCCAGCATACAATCTATATTACATCTTTCAATAACCTTATCTTATTTAGAAGAGTCATTTTGTTTGGATACAATATATAGTGTAGAATTGCCCAAAAGTCGGCTTTTTTGAGCAACGTCAGCAAGATGTCGACGACCGAGCCCAACGAAAACAAACTTTGAACAAGTACAGTGGTGTGTTTCATAATTTAAGCATCCGTCAAAAGGCATAAATACGTTAAATTTAAGACAGGGATAACCAATATTAACTAATTCGAACAATGTTTTTTTCTTGCGAGTTTTCTCTTTAAAGTAATTATGTATAAGTATAAATGTACGTTTGGATGTTTACTATCACGCTTATAAAGGTACATTGTAACGAACGTTTCAGAAAACGTTTTAACTCCTTTCGATCGACGATGAAACGCCATCATCAAAAACAAATCACCAAAAACTTTCCTCTACAGCAAAACGGAAAATAGAGAACAAAGTGGCGTTTTACTAATGCTAAAGCAGGAATAGTTGCAGCGTGATCATGAGCTTTTAAAAATGGCAAATGCTCCTAAATGGACATCTATAGATCCCTTGCATCGCCATTGGAAAAAAAACTCTCTGGCCCACTATGAACTAGCCTATTCCAGGCGTAGTGGACAGTGGATAGTGGATAGAGGACGGTGGCGCGAAATGGGGAACGGAGGAAAACAAACGTGGAAAAGAGTAAGAGGGAGAGAGTAGGAGGACCTTTCGCCCTCAATCCCTAACCCCGCCCCTTCGCCATTTTTTCTAGCCCACCTTTCTTTGCGTTTTCTCAACTATCTGAAGGCCTGTTACAGGTTACCTAGGTCCTTCATTTACAAATTTTTATGGTATATAACGTATTTATTCGATTAACCGCCCTGGGCGCTTATTAAATTTTTGGACCTTGAGAGTGGGCGCTTATTCGAGGTGGGTGCTTATTCGAGGGCTGGGCGCTTATTAAATTTCGTCATTCTCAGCAAGTGTAGTATGTTTATTTTGCAACAAAACTATAAATGGTACTAACAAAAAGCGGACATGTAACAAAAAATAAAATGTAAAATGCTCTGAAGAAAACTCCGTCTTCGGGAGGGTCTATTATTATGTCTTATTTAAGTTTGTGTAGGAGGGAGTGGGCGCTTATTAACTGTTCTGCCTTTAGGAGGGGCGCTTATTCGAGGTGGGCGCTAATTTGAGCTTGGGCGCTTATTCGAATAAATAGAGTATTCAACTTGAGCGTCGAGCACTTTTGGCGCTTTGTTATTGATCAGCAGGAACGGATTTGGTAGTACTAACTTTTCAACTGCTTTTAGACTGCGAATTTTTTTTTCTTTCTTTCTTGCTGACTTTCTTTTATTTTTTCTTTGTCAGTTTCTACCGTAATTTTTAGACGTATTTTTCGATCCTCTCCCCAGTCTCACTCACTCTCCCCCCCCCACCCCCCCCCTCCCCTTTTTCCGAAAAAACAACAACAACAACAATAAAAATAGGGAAACAAAATAGAGTAATACTAAAGCTAAGAAGAATCTTGCAACAAACGAATGGGAACACCTAAAAAGGAAACTTTCCTCATCCTCCGTAGCCTTAGTTCAAGAAACGTAGACGCTCAAGCGGGCCTCAAAAACCTTACCTTTGTCTTTGTCACAAACCGAATAAGACTGAAAGCCTTAGTCTGCTTTACGAAAGTACCTTGTAGATCTCCAGAAGAAGAATTGTTTGCAGCCGGCCCTCAATTAACCCCAAGAGACTTCGCCTGCTGCTGGTCAATATATAGGAATCGAAGGCTATTCCAAAGAACTGCTCCAGAAAAACTATTTTTCTTAACATTTTTCTGGGGTAGAGGAATAGCGAGTTTTCTGTGTCTCTTAATACGTAATTAGAGATATTGCAACGTTCTGCCCTTGCTACGATCTACTATGCACTTAACAAGGCCCCTCAAGGTACTTAAGCTTACTTAAGATATATTGCGCATATTCTGGGATACACTCGCCTCTCACCGCTCTTTGACGAAATGTTCCTAGCGGCAGATAGCGATGAGAGGAAGCTGTATTGCAGGCTTTTGGACAAAAGGATTTTCTACTATTTACGTGGGTAAACCGGTCGCTCCACGGTTTGGGCAAATGGTGAGGAGAATTCAGGACTGATTAATTTTGATTCCGTTCGGTAATCGCGTTTACCGTTTGCCTAAGTCAGTTTCGTTTAATGAAAAACGGCCGCGAAAGCCTGAAACTGATATTCAAAAAAGGTTTGAAGACATGAAATCCGAACTTCCGCCAGAAAGTTTCCAACCAGGAAGACCAGGAAAATAGGCGAACGCCTTTTTAGACGTTCCGTTTGTTTCAGGAATTTTCCACTGAAACGTCAAAAGCAACCCGAAACTGAGTTAATGGTAAGCCTGGCAAAGCACCAAAGTGTCCTCTTAGTTTGTTTTAATGGGTCATGTATATAGTCATGCACTAGCTTCATGATTCATACACGTTGTCATACAAGTATATAGGCTCCTCTTTGGCATCCACCTAGCTTTTTTTTCAGTTTTGAGAGCCCGCACCAATACTTAGTCTAAAATATTTTTATTCTTTAAAATTGCTTCAAGGAAATTAGTTTTTATAAACCAAATGGCATTGATTGGCCATGATTTAATTCGTAAATATCTCTCAATGCAAAAATTCATTCAGTAATCAGTTTTAGTTTTTAGATTTTGTTCTGTTTATATATCATTTTTTGGGGGAAATCGCCAGTCTGAAACTGAACACGAAAGTGTGTGACGCTATCCCAGGGACCCTAGATGTTGTATCTGAAGAAAATGCTGCAATCAATGAGAATCATAGGTTAACTGAACGATTTAATTTCGAATTGGCTTTTAATCTGCCTTTAACTAAATTGTTTAAAGCATATCTATAGGCAACACTGGCGTGACGGGCCGTGTCACGCTATTTTTAACCACTGCAATGTCGCGTTTTTTTTGCAAAATTAGGGTTGAACTCAACGTCTTGCGGGCTACTTGAAATCGTTTGCCCAGAGATTTGTTTCGATTTTCTGATAGATTGGGGCCTAGATAAGCAGTAGAAAGTCAATTTTCGGAATTTCAAGTTATAGCGCATTGTAAAAATAATTTTGAACGGTAGAAATGGTCAATAGGGCCTATTTTTAACAAACCTTTTTGGCCACAAAATGATTACAGCTTTCACAAATTTATCGACTTATAAGAAAGAAAGGGTCATAAAAACTATTCGTGTTTTTCAAAGGCTGCCAAATCGTTGTGGTTTTACGCACGAGTCAATGGAATTTGTGTAAAATTTCGCTTTACCGGAAGTGGATTTTGAGCTCTGAACGGGCAAAATGCGTTTTCTCGAATTTTAACAAAAGAACACGTTATTTGGGAAAACTAACTACAGCATGTTTCATTACTCATTAAGGGTTATCGATGAGCCAAATATGAGCGAAATCAAATTTTGAACTTGTGCCGACCGTGGGTCGATATTTACGGAAAGCCGCTCTTAACATTGAATTTGGAAGTTGAGTGCTATAACTTAATGTTAGCTGCTCAAGTTGAATGTGGAGGGGATTGAACACCAAAGAAAATAGCAAGAAGGTCCAATTATAACATTGATCTCAGAAAACTTCGCGTAAACAAAATCACCGGCCGTCGAAACCACAAAGCGGCTCTAACTGAAAAACCTACCGACTCTCCGCAATGATTCTTCACTCGCAGTTCAATTTAGCATTTCAGTTTCGAAGACAAGGGCAATTTTAAGATAAAGATTAAGCTTATCGAAATGTTTGAACTACAGGAAAGAATGCCAGGGATGCGATCCGCTGATTGCGCTAAAATTGTTCATAATTATACATAATTATGCAAATGTTTAGACAATCAACCAATCAAAACAACTACCCGGTTTTCGGGTAGTGAGTGACATCACTGGACGGCATTAACGGCCGGTCGATTCAGACGTTACTGAGGGAGTTATTACGACTCGAAGTAATCGGATTAGCCTGAGTATCAGGCCTTCCTAAGGGGCTAGGTGAGAGGAGATTTTAGATGGGGGAGGGGGGAGGGGGAGAAGAAGCTCTCCCCCTTTTTCGCTTCCATCTTTCCCCTTTTCCCCAGAAACGCCTGATACTCAGGCTATAATCGGATGAAATTCAGGCTAATCATTTCTCAAGATGGCGGCGGACTCCGTAGCTGTGGAAAGGTCCTTGTGAAACATGTCCCGGCAACATACAGGGCATCACGTAATTGACGTCAACACCTTGACTCAACTCCATGAACAGGGAGAGGCGATAAGTTCCATTATACCGTAAGTGATGCTTGATGTCTAGACGTGAATAGTCTGTCCACAGACGTTTATCCTTTTGCTTCTGACAACGCGCGAGTGAACCGGAGCGCAGTAACGAGCCCTGACCCCACACCATTGCCCAAACGTTCACTAAATCCCCAGCGCTTTTTATTTTTGTACAAGAACAGAACAGGTACGTTTTTATATTTCATTTAATTTCAATGCGCAGTTTACAAGTAAGAGCGTGGGTCCCTTATGGTGGAGCTTGAAAACAACGAGACATATAGCTGTGTAGCAGGCGCTTCGAAGTAGGGCGCGATAAAGAACGTGCGCGCGAGGAGATACGCGTGTCTCTCTCGCGCGCCCCGTTCTTTCTTGAAATTAAAAGAATTAATTAAGGTCAAAGGATCAACTTTGTCGTTTCTTTTTCCTTTTTTTTTTTAATGCTAAAAAATTGGGTCGGTCGGACGAAGCTAAACGAAGAAAAAAGCGGGGATGCCCTTTTAATATAGTTATTTGGCTCCCTCAGCAGGGGTACGCAACCTCCGGTTGATTGACATGTAACGCCCGGTAGTTCACCCACGAAATAATTATTTTTTTAAGTGTGAAAATCGTTTTTTTCCATTTATTAACCAAAGAAAGACTTGACCCTTATTTTACTCAGTTAGTTATGTAATGCATACAATCGAAAAAAAAATAGATAATTATAGGTAGCAGTGGCAGTGGCTGCTCTGGGACTTGAAGTCGATTGTGATGATGCGGACTCCGACAGTGATAGTGACTCAGAATTTGGATCTGATGAAGACGATCTCTAGAGAGCAGCTCTCTGACTCTAGAGATATGGGATTCGTACACCCTTTCCGATTGGAGTCCGTTTTGGCATCAACTAAAAAACGAAGTGCAAACTGATAATTGCCAAATCAGTCAAATATTTCTTTTTTTGTGAACATTTTTTAACGCCTTAAAAGACCTTTCCGGTTACCCAATTCCGGTCCAGGGAACGCGGGGAATTGCATTTTAGAGAGTCCAATTTTAGAAATTTCCCGGGAGGGGGGGCATGCCCCCAGACCCCCTAGGAGTTCGTCCCTCCGGCACTCGAGAACACGGTGCGCGTCCGCAAACTGAACCACTGCATCCGGTACTTCCAATTGCTATCGTAAACCCTGCCTGAGAGTGTAAAAGTATAAGTTTACAATGCCAGGATCCAACCTCGTTCCCAAGGCGCTTTTCCCTGGCTTTGGAGGTGGGGCGCCCCACCTCCAAAGCCATGGAAAAGCACCCTGGCGACGAGGTAGGCAAGGATCAAGCGTATACTGAGTAATTTGATGAAAAATAAACCAAAGGCTGAGACTCTATAAGGCGCTGCCTGACAAGGAAATGGTGAACAAGAAGTGCTACCCCTCATTTAATAGAGACGTGAAATACTAGGTGGACCATATCCTGAACTCCAGCGAAAACCGCAAGAGAAGAGCGCTCAAGGCTAAGGTGGACTAAAGCCCGAAAAAACAAAAGAAGTCTTGAGAAACGTCCTTATCCTATTCTTTCCGGGTTCGTAATTTCAAGGAAGCGCTGATCAAGAATCATACCTAAGGAGTGCAAACTTCTCGCAGCTTCCAGTGAAAGCATGCATAGAGTGACAACAGTGGTAAGCGGTCGTTCTGTGAAATGTAACGCAATCTTTGCCGCGTTTGAGATCTCTCGCTTGGATGTTGATCTGTTCTCCCGTGTGGATACTTCACATTTCCAATATATGGGAACACCATGCTAAGGTACCAACAACAAACACTCACAACATTGTTTTGTACGTTAAAATCTCATTTCCTGGACGTAAAAAGTATTGAATTTTAAGACTTTTTTCAATAAGTGATTTGCCCTTTGACAACGTGCACTTGGCAGGAATTGACAGCTTAAATCTGCCTTTCCTGTTAGCAAACGGTTTTAAATTATATCAGATTGCTGGATAAACACGTCTTGGTTTCTGAAAGCTAATAACTTCAAACCACTGTTGCTCAAACTGATTTCTTATAGTATATTTCCGAGTTTTTAGCATCGGCCCGCTGAGCGAGGAAAGCTCAACTTTCAGAAAAGTACTACTTGTATTTTTTGGCCTCAAAAATTTTCTTTGAAGTTGCCCATAGTTTTGAAAACAGATCTTGAAAGAAGAGATAACGCTCTAACGTGGTATAAGACTCTTTGGTGAAATCGAGGTACCAGCCGACGATTTTGGGCTTTGAAATTTGCCATTTTTTCATCGAACGAAAACGTTCAAAATATTGAAAATAATGAAAAATCTCCAAAATATTACATTTTCGTTCAAACTGAGTAAATCGCCCCATAAAATGTATATAATTATGTACTTTTTTGAATAAGTTTTTTGTTGTTTGCATTACAATTGATTTGATTTTTAAAACGATTTTTTCGTGACACGCCGTCTCAGGCCTGTAAAAACCGGTCCGAGAGCCGCGAAACCAATAGCCCCCCCTTTACGTCTAAAATAATTAGCGGATCGAAGTAAAAATTACATTTACGTTAACAGCTTACCTAGTGCTACTATGTGAATTTTTTTGAGAATTTTCGATTTTTCACTTTTGTAGACCTCTGGTTGATATTTACTGACATCCGCTCTTAACACATTTACAGTGTTTTAGTGGAGCAAATCAAATGGTGGTAATTGGGAAGGTGCTTGTTTGATAAGAGGGACGTAATAGGCAAGACAAGACAATGTTTAAATTATTTGGAGTCTTAATCTAAACTAGGACATCAACTTCATCAAAAAAATTTCAAATTAAGAATTGGTTAGCTCGACTGGTTGATTGTTCAAAAGCGCTTGGTGGGAGAGCCATATGATTTCTTTAAAACATACCGCTAACCTCCATTTGCGAGTTAAAGTCGATGCTTTTACAACAGCTGTTTATCCTGCAATCCCTAGAGCTGATAAACCGTATTTATGTTATAGGCTAAAAAGAACCTCTCCGAAAAAAAAAACAGAGAGCACAGCCAGTGACTAAGCTGAGTGGTGAGATGAGCTGAACGTCATTGACGTTATTAACCAGAGGCTCATAAGTTTAAGATTTAAACCTGTAAGAACTAAAAACAAGTGCTTTCGAGATCATGAAGTGTGCCAATGAAACACAACGTACCCTTCTGAACCAAATGACGTAATACAAAAGTGAACAAGACCCACACCCCAACGCCAAAAACGAACGAACAATGGTTTCAGCAACACCAGGAAACACTCAAAAAAATATTATTAAAGGTGAACATTACATTCAGTTCTTTAAAATTTATTGTTTCTCATACAGCAGACTACGATCCTTCATGAACAGAAAATAAGCACAGAGGAGAAGAAAACATATCCTGAATTTCATCCGATTTCTTCGAGTCATTTCCGGCCGTTAAAGCCGTACAGTGACGTCATCACTACCCAAAAACCGGGTAGTGATTTTGATTGGTTGATTGTCTAAACATTCGCCTCCTGGATAATTATGAGAAATTTTAGCGGGATTGTCGCTTGATATTCAGCGCGGATGCTTGCGTGGAGTCCAAGCATTTCGATAATCTTTATGGTAAACACCAAAATTGCCCTCGTCTTCGAAACTGAAATGCTAAATTGAACTGCGAGTGAAGAATCATTGCGGAGGCGGAGAGTCGGTAGGTTTTTCATAAAGAGCCCCTTTGTGGTTTCGGCAGTGATTTTGTTTATGCGAAGTTTCTGAGACCAACGTTGTAATTCCACCTTCAAGCTATTTTCACCGTCAAGTGTAATGATTCTGTTAGCTTTTCTTTCTTGTTTCCTTGCTTTATTTTTTCTTCGTTAAGGACCAAATAGCTTCTTTTCAATTAAAGCAAATCCTTGTGTTTTTGAACCAAGGGTTCGGTGTTTATATTTATTTCATTGCGTGATTGCGACCGAATTTGATTATGGAGTTACAACCGGTTCAGAGTACTGCATGCAGTTGATAGTTTGAACTTAACACATGAATTACGGTGAAAAAAAAGTAACGCCATTCTATATCACGCAGACATTTCCAAACGACATTTCTTGGTTTGCCACTTGCATGAATTTAAGCAAAGGAGTAGTGGCGTCACTGGACGGCATTAACGACCGTTCGATTCAGACGTTACTGAGGGAGTATTAACGGCTCGAAGTAATCAGATGAAATTCAGGCTACAGAAAACACAGCATGCAGATGACTGAAGGTACACTGAATGTGTTTAGGTTCAGTTCCACATATCTGAGTTTGCATTTAGTTTGGAGAATGAGGAAATGCGGGTTAATTCAGGGATGGAAATTAAGCATCTTTCATGAACGCCGATTGCGAGTCATCAGAGAGTAGGCAATAAGTGAAACCTGAATTTGTGTAAAATCTCAAAAATATATGATTTAAATTTGCTCTTTTTTAAGGGAATTATCAAAGATGGCGTGGACCAAGACGGTGATATGTAAGGAACCTTGCGAATTTTTGGGAAGATGTTGCTCAGCTCCCATTGGTCGGCTTATACGATAACGAACGATTCGTAGCCGAAAAAAAAGAGTTAAGCATGCTTCAAAAATTGAAATTCGACTATTGCAGAGACTGCTTGCGTTCCTACTTCATTTAGTCAAGTGGGCAAGCCTGTACGACCGCTCAGGCACGCGAGAGTGCAGAAAGCGAACGAGCAAAGCATGACTGCTTTCGTCTCAACAATCCCCAGGGACAGCTGGCAGCCTATGTATTATGATAGCACTGGCTCAGGGACTGGCTTAACTGACCATGTTAACAGGTTTAGCGTGACTCCCTGTGTCATTATTAATCCCAGCCCTTCGCGTATAAACATACGAATAGATCAAGATTCACGCGATAAAAAGGTGCATGTCACTAGTGATAAGATTCATTCCTATCAAGTGGTCTTGTTTACCCCAGCTTTTGCGTGGTTAGGATCGCATTGCTAACTTTACCTAAATTGGCTTAATAGTTTGTAGTTCTTGTCGGACACTAACAAACTCACCACAAGTAGTAACTATTAGTGACTATACTAGATACTATATTACTTGTAGAGCAACTATACTGAGAAAGCGATTACTTATTAACTCCTATTAGGTCGCTTTATCTAATCAATACCCTGCGAGCAGTGGTTTCTTCCTAGAAAAACCACTGTTCGCAGCGGGTATGGATCGTGGGAAGGAAAAAATTTCATTACACGGATTTCTTATTATTTATCATTTATCAGTCTGATGATCGCTTAGTGCGTGAAACTCCGAGTTACAACTCCATTTACGTCCATCCTTTTCTTTTGTATATATTTATATATTTATTATCCTTGCATTCACTGACTTGGTAAATATACTAACTAATGTTACTGTTGATTACTAAAATAACTATAGCATAGTTGCTATATATAAATACTTCACTGTTTATATGGAAGACAAACGTTATAGATCACACTCTATACTAGAGAAAACTATATCTCAATGTATAAACCTATTTAACAGAGGACGCACATAAGACTAAGGTACCATACTAATCTATATAAAGATTTATTTCACTCTATGTTAGAGGATCCATTAGTTACTCAACTATTGACCTGCGTGGCAGGTTTCGAAAGGGGTGGGAATTGAGGGAAAAGGGATCTCCCCTTTTTTGCGCTAGTACCAAGCAGACTATACTAAATTTCATTGTTTCCTTTTCTTGCGTGTCAGCAAGTTACATTTTATTTATCAAATTAAGATGAACATCATGAAGCAATTCATTAAAAGAATGCTTACTTAGAAATGAATATATCATTTAAATTGTGCTTGTCCTCAACATTTATTCCCTTCCCGTTGTAGTTTTAATTTTAAACTTGTGGACCGCATCGACCTATTTTGTAAACTCACTCAAATGCCTCCACAAACCGTCCTTTATTGGACAAAAAGTACAACGTCATCCCTTTAAGGCACCTGAGTAGGGTTAGATACATTATGCTCGAAAATTTGAGCATTGTGCTTTTGAGCGTCACCGTCGAAACAACAGCATTATGCCTAAAATTATGCTCAAAAAGTATCATTATGGACGACTGATCTTGGCTTTGTTTGATGCCCTTTTCCATGCCTCAAGACGGAAAAATACTTTTGTAAGCCAGAAACACAATATCGTATTGCATCACTTACAAATTTACAAAAGATAAACGACAAATAATGCTCAAAAGCACTCAAACTGTCTTCTTTCAATGGAACTCTCTATCTTTGGGATACTCTCTTATCAGTTTATAGCCTTGTATGATGATGCCACGGCGCAATAGAGTACTAAAGTGGTGACGTCATAAAAATAGAATTTCTGAAATTATGGGAATTGTCAGGATATTCTGAAAGAACAATGTCCAAGAGGCATACTCTCCAAAAATGAGCATTTCGGGACAAATTGTCTCTGTCATGTTAGCCGGTTATACTCAGAAAACTCCATACAAACACTTCTAATTTTTTTGGGGTCGACCCCAAAATATTTAGAAGGGTTTGTATGGAGTTTTCTAAGCATAACTGGGCTACGATCTCAGAGACAATTTGCTCCGAAATGCTTAGGGCTGGTTTTGCTACAGCAAAAGGAGACTTGAGGCTGGGGTGGATTTCGAAAACGAAAACTGTGATTACCAATTTATGGGAAATTCCTAGCTTCGCTCCCGAGACGATTAATAACTCTGCAGTTGCCCAAACAAATTGTGTCGACTTTCTGGTTCAGCCAGGCACTTTTATTTCTTCCCAAGAGGTCCGCCAAAACAGCTCGTGCAAGAGCGGATAAGGATTGCCCAACCTTCATTCATGTTTATTGGGGACTTTAAGCAAGGACTACTAAAGGGTCTATTGCGGTGACCGGAAATAATTTTTGCCGCCACCCGTCATGACTCGTCAATGCCTCAAGTCAGCGAGTTTTACCACCACGGCTATGGTGGTTAAAACTCCGTTTAAAAGTGTATTCGCGATTTTTCATTCTTTATCGCGATTAATCCAATTCGCTTACTTTGTCAAATGTTGGCGAACTCTCCTGAAGTTAAAATAGTGTAGCGACCCCCTGCAGCAAAGAAATGTGAAAAAATCCATTAAAAGAGTGCGATGCATGTGCAAATTCAGGAATTGCTTCTGATTGCTTCATTCCTGTTCACACCACTTGGTAAGATGTTATCCCTTATGCTCTATCCCGTCAACTGTATGCATTGGATTATCGGCCTGAAAAGAGGGGTTATGTGATTTATTCCTCTCGTGCGAGGGGAATAAATCACATAACCCCTCGCTTCAGGCCGATAAACGGCTTGTTTTTACATCGGCGAGGATTCCTCAAGGGACAAGGGTACCCAAGGACGGTTTTCTCGTAACTACATTGAAAACACTTTTTAGGCTATTCAGAGTACTTTTAGATCTCTAGAAATGCATTTTAAACGGCGCTATAAAATTTGTATCTGTTCGGTCATCGTTGGGGAGGGGGGAGGTACAGGAGGGTAAATTTCCCTCCTCCCTACATTTTCGCCCCGATTTCTCCCTCCTCCCTACTTTTTCAGGCCATTTCTTCCTCTTCACTATTCTGTACCCCCCCCCCCCCCCCCCTCTCCTTGGGCAACTTGAGGGATTTCGAAATTACAAGGGCCTCAGTTTTATTTTCCCGAAAATCTTAGATGCAATTTAGTCTAACGTATTTCGAAAGTGGGAATTTTTCTGACTCCTCTTTCCGTTACATTTTTAAATCCGAAAATCTTAGATTTCCTTTTTTCTACGAAAAATAGCCAAACCTGGGGAGTGAAATGTGAAAAATTAAACTTCAGAAAATCGTTGGGAATTTATTAGATAAGCTTCAAAAGTTGCCACGATCGCACGAGTCGCCTCTATTTACTGTAGAATCGACCATAAACTTGACGTCATGAGATCGTGTTACAAACCTGGTAAAATATTAAACGAAAACAAACTTCGGTTGCTTGTCTCTTCATTATGTTAGTCGCTGTTATTCGTCCGCAGCCATTGCCTTCAGCGGTTTTGCGGAGCACTGGTTTATGACGGCTTGCTCGATTCTACAGTACAAAAACAAAGGCGACGCGCGGTATTAACCGTAAAATTTAAGTACAATCAATAATCACTTGCCACAAATAACTCCTCTGCGCCCTGCGCACAGTGAATAGGCTCTTTGCATAACTTGATCAAGTGATCAACTTTCGGTAAACGTGAAAACAGTTCACTTTTGTTAGCACGAGCTGAAAGAGCATATTAAAGTTAGGTGACCTGAGAATTTTCAGCCGTATATCTAGCGGAAACATTTGTATGAGAAAAACAACTTTTGCCATCCACTCACGATTGTATGGTTTACCATAGAAATCCTTGTAATTTCGAAATTTTCAGAACTGTCATGAAATATTTCCTTAAGCATCACAGGGCTCAAATCTCCTTTTGATTCATAACAGGCAATTTGAGCCCTTAAATGCGTAAGGGATAGCGACAGTTTAAAAATTTTAGATTTTACATGGAATTGTATGGAAATCCATGCAAGCGTGACTGGGTGGCAAAAGTTGATTTCCTCATACAAATGCTTTTAACTTTCGGTTGCTGTTGCAATCTCTACTTTTGAGATATACGGCTGAAAATTCTCAGGTTACCTAATTTTAATATGCTCTTTGAACTTGTGCCAACACAATTTTTTTAAAAGCGAACTGTTTTCGTGTTTAATGAAAGTTGATCACGTGATGACAGTCATCCAAAGGGCCTATCAATTTTCGAAGCAGGAAGGTCTCTTCACCCTCCGCCCCCTTCTGGTGCAAGGTCCGGGTAGGACCTCCTCGCTTCGATAACTGCCAGTATTCACCTCCTCTAACTTCTCTTCTTTTCCTTTTCTTTTTTTCTTGCCCTTTTCCTTGCATTCCTCCTTTCCCTTCTTTTCTTCTTTCTGTTCTTTTTTGTCCTCCTCTTTCCTCTTTTCTTCCTCTTCTTTTTCTTCTTCCACTTCTTCCTCTCCTTCCTCCACTTCCTCTTTCAAGTCTTCTCTTTCCTCTCCCTGTTTTTTCTGTTTCGCTTTCTGTGCGATAATAACGACAGCAATGAGTGAGTAAGTCTATGAGCAATTCCTTTCGCGATTCGCAAAGTTTTTCAGTATTATAGCGTTTCTTTTAAACGTTTTCACATGGAAACCATTTTAAAAAGAATCCAAGGGAAGACGACGTAGAAAGCTATTCTACGCCAACTTTTTTTGCTTTTGTCACATTCAGCGGTAGTTTTTGAAAATGCAACTAACCAACTAATTGAAAGCTGCCCTCCGCAATACACATATTATTACTTTATTCAAGTGTTTTTTTAATCCATTTTATTTTCCACTACGAGTGGATTCTTTTGTCCTGCAATTCCAAACACAAAAACGAATAGAAAGCTCAAATGATCTTTTTTGATTATTTTTCGGAAAATAAAAATGTACGATCGTTATTGCATCCAGAAATGCTACAACGATCGCTTCCACTAATGATTTTCGTGTAAGCGGTATGTTCCTGATGAAATTCGATACGATATATTTCTTCTCATTTACTTAAACAGCACCCAGGCTCGCAGCAATATATTACAATATGTGCTTTTGATCTCAAAGATAAGATTTACTTCCGTTACTTTTTATTAACCCCAGCAGCCCATCATACCCCCAAAAGCATTTCACTCAGTCCCCCGCCAAAAACAAAATTTTCCCGCTTACTTACCTCTTTTGACCAGTTTTCTAGTGTCGCAACACTTCTGGCCTATGCTCTTAGCCAAAGTCTCTTTGAGACTTTGCCTCTCCCCACCGAAACGTCAAATTTTTTAAATACATACTCTGCAATTAGAAAAATAAGAATAATTTTGCCATGGCCACAACATGAAGCTTCGTGAACCTTCTCTTTACAAGAATGTAATTCACTTAAAACATGACGCCCGCACGCAGTTGCATATGGATGGGTGAAGAAAGGAAATAGTGTTTACCTTGTAGGCCTTCCTCTCGTCCATCCCGCCAAATCCCCTCAGGGGTATTAAGGACTGGGTAAACTTCAAATAAGCGCCCCTTTTCGAATTAGCGCCCTTCCTAAGGCTTAAAATTTGGAATAAGCGCCCCCGCCGCTTCCCCGAGAAAAAAACGAGGTTCAGTACTCGGTACGATATACGAGACGTATATGGTACTCTTAATGAATGTGACGTCTTACGGGTTTGCTTCTCATTTCCTCGATGGAAATATCCATGTGAGCTCATTGGTGCTTCACTTTCGTAGGTGCTTCGCATTGAAAACATTTCGAGTTTCACAAAAAGTAATTCTCTATAACGTTTTTTGAATTTTTATATGTTGCAGTTTAGGTTAACTACAAATAAACATAATGTCATTTTGAGGCCAAAAATTGACAAGTTATGGTAACAGGACTGAGTGGAGTCCAGTTCGGTCTGTAATCAAACAAAATCGGACGAACGCGTAGGGGAGTCCGATTTGTTTAATCACGAGTATGATTACAGACCGAATTGGACGACACGAAATTCTACCAGAGGTTTTTTTCGGGAATTTTCGGTGTTGGCCGAAGGCCGAGGCCACGAGCGGCGAAGCGTGGGTCACTATAAAGACTTGATAGAAACCGGAAACCGCGCTAGAAAAGTCTCTGGCACCCAGGGTATCATAACTTTAACAAAGTTTGTAATATATAAGGTTCTTTTTTAAATCAAAACACAAGAAATTCCAAGAATTGTTTTGCTAATAGTGAAAAAAAGCCATTC